TTTTTTTTTTTTTTTTCGTGGTTTTTTCTTTTGTCGTCGACGTTTCCGTTCTCTATACAGCCCATTTTTCTCGACGTTCGCGTTGATGTAATTATCCCCGCAATCGACGCGGACTTTTTCGTTCTGATTTATTATCAGCCCTCTCGGGATCCCTTGGTCGGTTCTGCATCCACGAATCTCTTTCGACCTGTTTCTTCCCACTCTTTCTATCTTTATCTCTCTATTTAAAATTCTATCTTTCTATTTCTATCTGTATCTCTATTTCTATCTCGTTTTCACGACGTTTGCAGTTTCGTTAACCGGTCCCCCGCGAATCCTCCTCTTCCCGATCTTTATTACCGTATCTTTTTATCGCACTCCCGGATTCGTTGGTCAGCCGGATGACAATACCATGTGTGAGTAATCCCTAACAGTGCCTATCGTTATTGTCAGTGATACGTTCATGATTATTATTCTTATTCTTCTTATTATTATTCTCACAACTATTATTCTTGAACGATTCGTTGTTTCGACGATCGATTCACTTGCTCGGTAGTCGCACCCCCCGATTTTTCTCTTGGTCTCTAGTGTCCGGTAGTTGGCAGAGAATGCAAAAGTGGAATGGCTTGTTTCGCTCATCGATCGATTAGTTTTCAGATCGGTAAAAAATACCGATGCTCGTGTCGAAAGAAAACGTAGTTGCACGTCGTAGTAGGATATATATTAGGTATATACAGGGTGTTCATTTTAACTCGTGCACCAAAATTATTTACGCTACTATTTAAAGTAAGAAAAAATGACTAAATAGGATCTGAAGGGTTTTAATGGTGATAAAATGTTTTTTCCTTCTTATCACGTTTATTTACTTCTGCATTCTTCAAACTGAAGCTGATTTCTTCCCCTTCAAGGTCACTTCAAGGCCATGACCTTGATAAAAACCGTTAAAACGACCTTCATAGAACTTTTTTATCACCACCAGATGCACGCCTTAAAACCATGTACATCCTATTTAGTCATTTTTTCTTTCTTTAAATAGCAGCGTAAATAATTTAGGTGCTCGAGATAAAATTAACACCCTGTATATACAGTGGACTCTTACTATATTGCCATGGTCGGGGCTCTAGGGGAGTAAAATGGCAATGGCCTACGCAACGTGGTGGGAGAACGAATTTGTGTGCTCGAAAGCAGGGACTTATTACCGAAAACCGAAATAAATACCGGTATTCTTCGGTTTCTATAAGGGTAGGGCTTATATACGATTACATAAGGCGAAGGTACAACCGAAAAAAACCGGTGTTTTACGTTTCGGTAAAAGTCCCTGTTCGAAAGTACGCGTGGCAATATGTTTAGTGGCAATATAGTTAGAGTCCACTGTATACGTATTACACACTGTTTTAATCGTAATCGCGACGCAAGCGTTTCAGCATGTCCGCAGCTCTGATCTCCCTTTCAGTTTGGATTCGTTTCACCGTGGAAACGCAATCCTTTTTTTCCGGTGTTTTATCACGTCGTTACGTTTGAATGAACCCATCGGGAAACGGTCTTTCGTAGAGGAGAGTTTCGTCTTTCCGTGCTGTAGAACGTATTCTAGCACCGAGTTTCACGATACTTGCACGTGCATCCTAAATTAGCAAACCTCTGTCCAAGACGGTTTTTCCCTGGTGACACACGAGCTGGGTAGATTTCACCATCGAAACACACGTCCTCGCTCGACTGCCTCTTTTTATCTTTCTTTTCTGTTCACACACACACACACACAGACACATATACAATAATATTCTTTTGCTGTTTCCTCGAATCTCATCGTTACAGCTTGATGAAAGTCGACGAAGCAAACACAGTCGAATGGACCGTTTGGCGTCCTGAGTGCACCGTCGTTAGCATGCGACTCGCGATCGTTTCGTATTAAAATTATTATTATTATTATTATTATTATTATTATTATTATTATTATGTTGTTCGAGCCGTGGTCGTAATTCTGTACACTCTGTTCGTGCTTGCGGCGCCGACAAGAGTTCCTTCGCTGACTTTTGTTCGTTTACAGATACCGAGGGGGATAAGCAGGGCACTCCGAGGAGACAGGAGAACAATAATTCGGTGTTTGCCAGCGAGAAATCAGCTGAGAATCGCGCGACTAATGGACACCATGAAAGTTCGTACGGTAATTCGAATCTCGTCGATACACCAGATCTGAGCCCAGTGAAACAGGTGGTGCGAAACGGGGATGTAGAGGACATCGAGGTTCGAAAAACGAAGGTGAATCAACTGGAACGTACAAACTCCTCTCGATTATCGTCTGGTTTTGTCCTACACGATTATTGTCGAGGCGTTATTCCCACCATTGTGGGGTGGGGGTATGGAACTTGTCAAGCGCAGATTAAAAAAACGAATTTACGAGGGTCTAAAGAATTTCTCCCTATACGATTATTGTCCTAGAGCGGACCTCAGTTCGCGACAATAATCGAGAGGAGTCTGTATCTTGTTCGTACGTTCTTGTTTCTCTACGGCTAATTTGCACGATGTTTTTTTTTGCCCCGGAGCAGAGATGGCCGACCGACAAGGCGTATTACATAGCGAAGGAACTTCTGATGACCGAACGAACCTACAAAAAGGACCTCGACGTGATAAATGTGGTACGTTGTACGTGCGTTTTTTATCGTTTAAAAGTCCCAGCCAGGAACTAACGACTCGAACGTATCGACACTAAAAATACTCGGTATCGAAACAAAAGTATCGATTATTTACTTTGTATTTACTTGTATCGGTTCATCCCTACAACCAAAAATCACGGCTTCAACGTTTGCCCGTTTCTGCACGACAGTGGTTCAGGGAGGAGGTATCTCGAGAAGCGGAATTGGAGGGTGAGTCGGTGGTTACGCTGATCGAACTTTTAGCGGACGTCCACGGGCCCTGCCTTCAAGAAATGGAGGCAAGATTGGCGCGGTGGGAGAGCAACGCGCGGCACAACATCGGCGATTTTCTGTACAATACCTTGTTGAACGTGTTGCCGCTCTACGATCAATATCTCGAGAATTTGTTACCTGTCCTCGAGAAGATGGAATACTACACAAGGACGTCGCGACGCTTCGATCAACTGTGCCGTGATTTCGAGGCGCAGAAGCATTGTTATCTCCCGTTAACCTCATTCCTTTTGAAACCGTTGCAACGATTGTTGCATTACAACAGTATTATCGATAGTAAGTTTTCTATGATTTCGAACCCGATACGCACTCGAGATATGGTACACGATCTTCCTGCATGTAATTCAACGTACCCTAATCTTTCAGGATTATTAGATCATTATCCGAAAGATCACACCGACTTCGAGGACTGCCTGGCAGCGAGGGATCGACTGGGCGAAACGTTGCTCGAGGGTCTTGGCATAATTAATCAGGCCGTAATGACGAAAGGAATTAGTAGACTGCGGATTTCTATACAAAATAACATTTTCTAAAGTAATTTATAGAGACCAGGCATACGTGTAGAAATTCATTCTTCCTCTTAAGTATCTTATTGGGTTCAGACTAAAATAGAAAATTCATTGGATCCGATGAAATTTTAGTCTTTTACTGTATTTTACAGTCCTATGGGCTATAAATGCATAAAATCCGCAGTTTAGAAATTAGTCTTTTATTTTCTAAGCACCCGTAGCTTAACATGTTTCTTTCGTTGTTCGCCGATCTAGGAAAACCTGGTCCAACTGTGCGAGATGCAGAGAGACATCGGTGGCTTCGACAACCTGGTTCAGGAAGGCCGGAGATTCATTAGACAGGGCTGTCTGCAAAAGTACAGTCGCAAAGGTTTTCAGCAAAGAATGTTCTTCTTGGTAAGCGAAACTTTGAAACTTGCAGTCGCTTCTCTCCATTTCTTTAACGTACCGATTTCTTCCCTGAATATACAGTTCTCGGACGTATTACTGTACACATTCCGTACTCAACAACCGACCCAGTGCTTCCGCGTGCACGGGCAGCTGCCGTTGAAGGGAATGAAAATCCGCGAGAGCGACAGCAAGACCGGCTCGTACTTTGCGTTCGTGATCGACGCCCAAGGAAATCAGTGAGTATACCCGGGTATAAAACGATTCTCCGCAGACATTATTAACATAGAAACTATAAAATTACTGTACACAACCTTAGTTAGACCTCACCTAGAGTATGCATCAGTCATTTGGTCTCCCAACTGAAATAAATACACTGATCAGTTAGAAAGAATTCAGCGCACATTTTTTAGATTTGCAGAACATAAATTACATATTCATAGGCCTTTTTGATAACATGGATTTCTTCTCAGGTAATATATCATCATTTAAATGTAAACTATCTCAATTAATTCAATAAAATACATAATAGCGTATCAGTATTGAGCCTTGTTCGTCAAATCTAAATAAATAATAAATAAAGTAAATCCATTGAACGTTAACGAGGTGTTAAAAGGACGGTCCGTGTGTCGTTGTTAAGGGGTCAATTGGCCGCGGCGAGTTCATTCGGCCGCGCTCCATTCTTGTGAGTCTGAATTCTCGTCGGAAGGATCGGCGAACGTCTCGACGGCAGAGTAATTGAAGGCAAAATCGCGTGCCTTTGAATCTCTGAAATGCCTTATAAGATGTGCCCCTTGATGCCATTTAAGCAGGGACTTCTACCGAAACGTAAAATACCGGTATTTAAGTTCCACGCCTCAACTTTTCATAAAGTGTACCATTAAGTCCCATTATTCGAGATGATCAAGCTAACTGAGGCACTCTGTATGTATGCACTTGTCCTGGTAACTTTTGAACCGTCCTCGTTCCCGACAGATCTCTGACGGTCGCTGCTGGCAACGAGGAGGAGAAAGAGCGATGGTTGGAAGACTTGAATATGGCGGTCGCGCAAGCTGACGCAGATCCAAAGATGCCGTACTTGAATTTACAGTCATGTAGTGAGTGTTTCTCAGCTGCGAAATCATGAACCACTCTGTTTCGTTAATTATTTATCCGTGGAAAAAATTTCATTCAAGATCTAGGCTCGGCTGATGAGGTGGGCGATGGGGTCGGATTCGAGGGTGACAGAGGAAGCTGCGGGGGTGCAAAAGCATCACAGAGAAGCAACACTACCGTGCACGTTTGCTGGCACAGAAACACCAGTATCAGCTACAGCGATCAATTGCGAGCGTTCCAAGTAGGTGCAAATTTGCAACTGTCTTGAGCGACCCCATCCAACGAACAACCCCAATCTGACGAGAGGATTAATTCGTTTCAGAACCAACTCAGCGGATTTCTGTTGCGGAAATTCAAGAACAGTAACGGTTGGCAAAAGCTCTGGGTGGTATTCACGAATTTCTGCTTGTTCTTCTACAAATCGCACCAGGACGACTTCCCGTTGGCTAGTCTGCCGTTGTTAGGATACACCGTGACCACCCCATCGGAGAAGGACGGGATCAGCAAGGATTTCGTGTTCAAGCTGCAATTCAAGAGTCACGTGTACTTCTTCCGCGCCGAGAGCGATTACACGTTCGGAAGGTGAGGATTAATCATTGTAGTCGAATTCAAAATTGTAAAACTCGACGATTTCGCAGGTGGATCGAGGTGATACGCAGCGCAACTCAGCAAGGCCACGTGTCGGTCAGCTTTAACGGAAAAGAAGGATATTAACGGCCGATCGTGGGCGTCTTTGACTGTACGGCGTAGTATTTAGAGAACAATCCAAAAAGTAAAAAAAAAGAGAACGTCTTCAGGGGATACCGATCGCGATGAAACTATGCGGCCTTATATACGTGGACTGAAATCAAATACTTTTCTTACGATCAAAATTGTAATCGACAATCAAATCAAAATCCGTGCATCGGGAGACAAAACGAAGACTGTAGCTCGTAAGTGGACAAGGAGGAGGAGGAAAAGAAGGAAGAAAAACGCATTTACCTTGTACTCGTTTCTGCGCGGCGGCCGTTCAATGAAATTTTGCTGCTGAAAACGCGCGTTGGAAGCGTTATCGTTTTTCTTTTTCTTCGTACCGCGATAACGGTGATAATTGGTATGTAAATAGATTTATTTAGATCTAAGCGTATCTTGTTTAATATTTCTATGAATCTAGATGGACGAATCCAAGCGCGTTCGTGTCGCCGATAAGAATTTGTTGTCCTCTTTCTCTCTCTCTTTCTATCCCTCTCTATCGTTGAAACGGCAAAGCTGCGACACGGACGCGGAAAAAGCTGGACGTCGAACGCGTAAACTTTGGACCAATTTTCTAATGAGATTTCTTTGATCGATCCATGTCTTAAAAAAGACAATAATTTCGTTAGCGTAGAAACAGTTCTTCCCGTTATTAGATACTATCGATTAATTACTAAAGACGTAGGTGTTGTTGTTTCTCCGTTGTCGGTAAGAATTTTATAAAAACGTAACTTTTACGACTCTTTTCTTTTTTTGTACCATGTGTTGTACACCTGGGACTCGTTCGAAGCAATATACAGACTCCTTTCGATTATTGTCCCGAACCCGGGTCCAATAATCTTGTACGGAAAAATGCTTCAGACTCTCGTAAATTCGTTTTTTACCCGAAGTCCGACTCTAGGCAACAAAAGTATACACTTGACAGGTTCCACGGCTTAACCCTCCTTCCAGTGGCGGGGATAACGCCTGGACAACAATCGTGTAGAACAAGCCAGACGATAAACGAGAGGTGTCTGTACGATTAAACGCGATGCAGCACTGACCACACAACATCTAGATCCGAGGAAAGATATTTTCGGGAGAAGCTGCGCGTGATAATCGAAACAAACATACATATCTACTACGTAAACAAACGTTGTACCGTTGATGCGATAAAAAAAGGAGAAACCGTCGGTAGATTAATGGTTATCTGTTTTTTAGTTGCTCCGATTGTTTTTTTATAAAATAGAATTTAATAGCACGTGTTCGTTGCTCGGGTTTCTCTGACGGAATGGCGATCCTCGACGGCAGCTTACGCGAAATTTTGCCAAAATCTTCGTACGTTTATTTAAATGCGAATCGTGACAGTTTCCCGATCGAAGCGCGTTTCATAACGTGTGCACTCGAAATGTAAGTCGTTATGTAAACATCATGTATCGATGTTCCGCAATAAACGTACACATTAATACATTCGGTTTGTTTCTGTTTTTGGTCGAATAGAGACGGATGGGAGAGAGCACACGCAGCGTTCCTCGAATATTCGATAACGGTTCGAGATCGCCGTTTTCGAGTACGTATCGACGATTCGGAAAATGGAAACATCGGACGGACTCGCGCAACCTTCGAAGAGATGAACGCAAACGGAGTTTTTTTTTTTTCACCATCCTTGCGTAAATTCTTTCGGTATTACTCGTGAGAACGAAGGAGCTCGTTATGTATATGCAGAGACTTTTTCAGGCCCCGATGAGTTTCTGCTAATGAGTTTAATGAGCGTGTTACTCTTCTGGCGTCGTAGGAGTATATATACACACTAGGCGCATACAGATCGATCAGATTTGTTTTTCTTCGCCGATTTCACCGATTTTTTTTACTCTTCTCGTCGATTGAGAAGACTTCACAGCAGAGACTTATAGCGAAACATGAAACACCGGTACTGTACCGAAATAGATACCGATATTTTTCCGGTTTCTATAAGGGTAGATATTATACCGGTATTATACCGAAAAAATACCGGTATTTATTTCGGTTTTCGGTAATATATCGGTTCGATATAGCTTCGATGGCATAATACCGGTATCAAATTCATAACGGTTTAAGTCCCTTCTTCACAGGGTGCCACCTCTTCCCGAGGACCTGTTTCTCTTTCGTAGCGACACGTTGAAACAATCTAGCTGGAAATACCCATAATATAAAATCACAGCGATCGGTTGGGCGATATCCGGTAACCGTTTCCTCGATATCACAGTTATATGATCGACGCCGGGAAAACTATTCGAACAAAATAGGATGTGCGAATCCGGTAAAACGGGTATTTAATGGAAACTTTATCCTTGCGAGGAGGTTCGAGCCGATTGTGTCATTGCATTCGACCGCCGAGTGGAATCGCGACCTGTTGCGGTCTTTCGGCGATCGTAAGCGTTCTCCGGCTGCTAAGAACTCGGGAAAATATTATTATTGTATAATTGACGATTGCATACAGTTAACGGAATGTTGTTCGTTGCAGGTCAATGCCTAAGGAGACGAATCGCTCGGGGTTATCGGCGATTCTTTGGTTCAGGCGTCGCGAATTTTTTACCGAAGCGCTCCCCGTTCGACGGTTAAGCGGCTGCAACGGCGACTTCCGATCCCGACTAGGCTCCCGACGGTTACGCAACCAGCCTCTCGTTATCGATCTTCAAAATTTTTTTGCTGCATCTCGGTGAACGGAGGAACGCTTATATAGAAATAGCTCGCGTGAGCGCGAGATTTCCAATGACGCAGTTGCCGGTCGAGCGGTTTTACCAATTGTTATCTTTCGGATTTTCTATGCGTTGATCCTGCAGGGTAACCCCCAATACGATCGTAGATAACGGGTCGCCACGTTCCTTCTTTTTTTCGTGGATCCCTGACAATGCGTTAAATGAAATGAAAATATTCCTGGACGAAGGATATTCAGGAAATCGGGTTAACACGTTACCGACGGTTTCAAGGATTACGAGTCGATGATGATGGTTCGCGCAAACATACATAAACCTTGATCGTTTGGACTATCCCTGTTAACGGTGTTCTGTTCCATCGAGCGTATTTAATTTAATTTAATGTAATTTTAATTAATGTAGCTACGAAATTAATCTAATGGCAATGTTTTCGTCAAGGTCAGAATAAGATGACAGACGATTGCCGAGGTCGATGTCCGTATCGCTGGAGGCGATCGTCGGTTAGCAGGAGAGGTGCCAACGAGACGTGATCGAGGATTCGTCGATCAGCAGACATGTTACGCGTTATGAGTTGTGCGTTCATCGCCGTTTACCTTAGCCTTGGCCAGCGGACGTTTTTTTTTGCCCTCGTTGCCGTTTCGCGCTTGGATCTGCGTTCGAAGAAACGTCGACGGTTTCAGGAAGAACCGCCGCGGCAATACACAGAGTGGGAGGGAACGATATAAAAGATGTGCGACGATCGCGTACCAGCGTAATAGAAGAATCGTACCACGACAACATGTGGCGGTATCGAACGATCGGGACAGTGGCCCTCGTGGCCCTTCTCTGCGTCCACGCGCAAGGTATTTCATTGTTTTTATATTTTCCACATTGTTTTTTCGTAAAGATTTAGACCCTTCGTTCGAACAAACGTTCTAAGAACGCTAGGCTGTTCTGTGGTAATGGTAATGATTTATCAATTTTTTCTCTGCAGACGCGGAGAAGAGGGCGAAACGAAGTCCGTTGCCGGGATATGGTGGATCAGGCGGCGGGTTCGGTGGAGGTTTCGGAGGAGGATTCGGTGGAGGCGGTGGAGGTGGTGGTGGCGGCGGTGGTGGTGGAGGTGGAGGATATGGAAGTGGTGGCGGTTTCGGTAGTGGCGGAGGATTTGGCGGTGGAAAGGGTGGTGGTGCCGGAGGACAGGGTAGCAACTGTGGTTCCGGAGGTTGCGGAGCTGGACACGGTGGTGGAAATGGTGCAGGTCATGGTGGAGGACTAGGCGGAGGACTCGGTGGAGGACTTGGTGGTGGACACGGTGGTGGAAACGGTGGAGGACTGGGCGGAGGAAATGGTGGAGGACACGGCGGAGGACTCGGCGGAGGAAATGGTGGAGGACTCGGTGGAGGACATGGTGGAGGACTCGGCGGAGGTAATGGTGGAGGACTCGGCGGAGGAAATGGTGGAGGACTCGGCGGAGGAAATGGTGGAGGACTCGGTGGAGGACACGGTGGTGGTCTCGGTGGAGGCCACGGTGGAAGCGGCGGTAGCTGTGGCTCCGGTAATTGCGGTGGTTCCGGTGGTTCTGGTGCCGGAGGATACGGAGGATCTGGCGCCGGAGGTGGAGCCGGAGGATACGGTGGTTCGGGCGCAGGTGGCGGTGCCGGAGGATACGGTGGTTCGGGCAGTGGTGCTGGAAGTGGCGGCTATGGAGGATCTGGTGCTGGAGGATACGGTGGTTCCGGTGGAGGCGGTGCCGGAGGGCACGGGGGTGGTTGCAGCTCAGGGAACTGTGGTAGCGGCGGTTCAGGTGGTTACGCAGGTAAAAACAGAGCAAGCTGTATAAGAACTATGTCACGTATAGTATCCGGATAAGCATTATAATCGTTCGTTATCTCTTAGGAACTGGTGGAGTAACCAAGACAGGCGGTTTCGGTGGAGCTGGAGGTGGTGGCGGCGGTATCGGTGGTGGAGCAGGCGGTTATGGAGGCGCTGGGGGCGGAGCAGGTGGCCATGGAGGTGGCAGAGGAGGCGCTGGTGGTTATGGAAGCGGTGGTGGTGGAGCTGGTGGTTACGGAGGCGCTGGTAGCGGAGCCGGTGGTTACGGAGGCGCTGGTAGCGGAGCCGGTGGTTACGGAGGCGCTGGTAGCGGAGCTGGTGGTTACGGTGGTGGACGAGGCGGAGCAGGAGGTGGTGGTGCCGGTGGTTATGGAGGCGCTGGAGGTGGTGGAGCTGGTGGTTACGGAGGCGCCGGAGGTGGTGGAGCCGGTGGTTACGGAGGCGCTGGAGGTGGTGGAGCAGGTGGTTACGGAGGCGCCGGAAACGGTGGCTACGGCGGAGGTGGTCTTGGCGGATACGGTGGATCGTCGGCGTCAGCGAATGCCCACGCAAGCGCCAGCGCGAATGCGGTCGCTGGAGCGAATGCTGTGGCAAGCGCGAGCGCAAACGCGAACGCCGGTGGTTTGGGAGGACTGGGTGGTTACGGCGGTAACGGTGGCTACGGCGGTCATGGTATCGAGTAGGTTGAATGATTTGAAACTTTGAAAAGAATTCTAGACTAATCGGAGAAATTAATTGTACCACTGTTCCTGTTACTAGCCTCTTCAATCGCATGGGCGACGCCGACGAGGGCGTGAACGAGAGCGGCACCGTGAGCGGCGCCAAGGGCGTCTACAGCAACAGCGGGGCCAGCATCGATTCTTCCGGGAAGGGAACCTACAAGGTCTCAGCTGGCAAGATCGCGTAAATCCTTGGCGATCGATGGGAACGGAAAACAGCCAGGGTTCAGCGATACGATCAGGATCATTATTGTAATCGCGATCAGTTTTCGCGAGCAAAGATGGGAGAAACATCTTCTGTGATTAATTCTAAACGAAGTTGCACGATACACGATTTTTGAACGGCCCATTAAAAACATTCAGCTTCTTGTTATCCCCGCGTAATACCATTTTCTTCTATGGAAGAGCAACGTCTGACTATGCAAACTGTATCGTATCTCAATAAACGATTCATCGTTGTATCTTCACGTGTAAAGGACAATTTGTCTTGTAATCGGGACACTTCGTATACCTGTCTTACCGAGATACCCGATCGTTGCGCGTATTTTCAACGCTGGGCACCGATGAGACGAGACAGACGCGATAATCGCGTTAATCGAATGTTATTTTCTCGTCTCGTTCTATGTACCTTTCGCTTTTAAGGCTCCCTCGATGTACTATCTCTCTTTTACGTATGGGTTTCGCAGAGATCCTCGTTGAAAGGACACCAGCGTAATCGGGACGATGCCCGAGGCACTGAAGTTCTCATAACGAAATAAACGATTAACACGATACATGAAATGATCCTGGATTTATTACGCGCTATCGCTCCTATCGCGTGTATGTTTGTGCGATTCACGATTTGATAAAATCGCCTTTCCGAGGTTGTTAGCTGCATAAACGGTACATCCAACTAATAGACTCGCGATTCATTCCGTGTCTCATGAATAATTCATGAATGCGCGCATAGATCATGCGTGGATGGGCTGTCTCCGAAGATCCCGGCGATGACATAAGTGGAATTCCCGCGGGCCTGGCGATGGTCTGTTTACATTCATTAAACGAGCCGATGACTGCAACTTCGATTTCGGTGCGACCGACATACTTGTAATTTAACCAGACTCTTAGCGTCGGTTTCAAAATGGATTTAACAATCGTGAATATTATACCTATTATTTTTTACTCAAAGACAAATATTACTTTGGTGGTATGAAACTCTTATATTAAATGTACACCGACGAGCAAACTTGGCTTCCGCTAGGGGAGAAAGTTGTGTACTGGAAAGGCCTCGGATCACTTGGTATCGCGATTTACTCAAATTTACGCTAAATTAACATTTAATTTAACCTTTATTTCAGTACTTCAAATAAATTTACCAGTAGACCCTTACTCTTATGCCACTATTTCCCCTAGCGGAAGCCGAGTCTGCTCGCGAGGGTACATTTTGCGATAAGTACAAAATATCTTTTGTTTCTGGGAAACAATCGACGATATACTAATTCTGAGGACAGCAGACGTCAAGAAAATCGTAAGGCAAAGGGTTAAACGATATACGCGACGCTTTGTTCGTATTTTCGTATGTTGGAGATCCGTGTGGGCACGTTAATGGAAAGTGACGTTGCCCGCAACAGGTAATCCGATTGTTCGATAAAGGTCGGTATTCCATGAAAGTTCAAGAAATAAGCAATTGAATAATGTACATAACTGGTTTTGTTGTTTAATAAGATACACTTTACATCCGTCTAGAAACACGGCTGATTCATCGCTTATGTCATTATTCATTATCCATGGAACATCTCACGGAGATCGTAATCTCCGTGTAATAATAGTGCAATCTCTTCGACGAATCGCCGGTAATTCTACGATAATTAACAAGGTAAACCCGCGAGATTCCGGGTATACGAGAAACACAGTCAATCCTGTTACACGTGATTGCATCGTCGACGACGCGTGGAGTTTAAATAAATTATCGGTAAAAAATCGTGTAAATCGAAAAATAACAACTGACGGCATGTAAACGTATTGAATCTAATTCTGAACTTCACGGCGTCGATGACGCAACATTTCGTATCGTTCTCGCTGCAGCTTCATCTTTCCCTCTTTCGATTATCCTTTGATGGGATGAGCCCCAGAGCCAGACCAGCCTGAAACATTATCATTCGATTAAGTCATGTAAACGATGGTATTGTTTTTACCTAACCCCATCCAACTACAGTGAATCCTCGATGAATGTTCGAAAGCTTCTCGGCACTGAACATTAAATATTTCATAAACTACTGACCATATGAGGCTGGAACAAATAGCATCCTGCGAAACTTACTGCCCGCGTTGCTGCTCGCGTAAGCGGATGCACTGCTGGAGGACCAAGCACCGCTTCCGGCGTGACTTCCGGCGCCACTGGACGCCCAGCTTCCACTGTTCGCCAGTCCGAGTCCACTATGCGGCCCTGTAATGGAAAAATATCGTTTGTGCTTTAACTAAAATTCACATGTCTATTTACATTTAGCATACCGGAGCCCGCGTAAATTTATTCGAACGAAACGAGCCACGAGCGCGCTGGCGTCGCACGACTAACGTATCGAGGTTATGCAACGTCGTCAGACGTACGTTAAGAGAGCGGAAGCCGGTCGATGGGATCGAGGATTCTCATTAATTAACAGCCCGTCCGTCGTCCCTTTGATTTATGGTTTATTGTGCGAAGGACTTCATCGATCAAACTCTTCCCCGTTCGACGGCGAACCTTGAAGCCGTTTCCCCACCGCGTGAGAACATGGTTACATTCATTCGGTTACTATTAATCTCGCTCTAAGGTCCCCGCCGTTCTTTAACCTCTCGCGAACCGTTCGTGGTTTCCGTTCCGCATCGGGAAACTCGTAGTTAAGTACTATAGTTAAGTGGGCCATTAACTCCCATAAGATGAAAAGTTTATACTTATACCACATCGGTGGTAATATGTTGCTGTATTGACTAGGGAGTCAGGTATGAACCGCCTTAAACGGAAACGAACTAACCTCCGGCGCCAGTATGCGACGCCGCCCCCGAATTTGGGTAGCTGGACGCCTGGGAGCTGCTGAATGCTCCGGAGAATGCTCCACCAAAAGGACCTGGAACATCCATTCCGGGGAAGTTTTCAGACCCGTCACCAACGCCAACGCCTCCGCCGCTTCCGGTGCCCCGATTTCCTGCCAGAGGATTTTGATGTTGATTCTCGTGTGGTCCAGAACTCGGACCAGAATAACGATCTTCGTAGACACCTGGGGGTTTTAACCCTCCAATTGGTGAGTCGATTCCTGTAGGATGGTTACCAACTGGGCTCTGACCATGAATACCGTGTGTTTCAGGTGACTGGCCAACGGAACCACCTGTTCCAAAGAAAGGATTATTATTGCCAATCGGCTTCGTCGCATCAGCTCCAGGAGGAACGCCATGATTGCTGCTAGCCGAAGGGAAACCACTTCCAGTATTGCCACCTAGCCAAGTTCCTGCACCTGATACTGCCGTTGCGCCCGCAACCACTGCTGGTACTTGTGCTCCGCCGATAAAGGGATTTCCAATGCCAGTTGGCTTGTCGGTAACTGTCGAATGGCCTGCAAATCAGATCAGACGATTCGATGATTTCTGTTCGGAATATGTGTAGCATTATTGTTTTAATAATTAACACTCACCTCCAACAGGGGCAGGCGCTTGTCCATTCAAGGAAGGATTCCACGCGTAAGATCCAGCCACAGTTTTGTCGACGAACGTTGGAGTCGGAAGACTTCCAGACAGACACCTGCCGTACAAGCACCCTGTTCCGCTGTTTCCTCTACCAGGAGCAGCTCCGTTCAATGACGGACCAGCTCCGTTTCCACTAGGAAAAGATCCTTGTGGCCCTTGCGAGGCGTCAATCGGACGCACGCCTCCTATTGGTCCAGGAACTTTATCGACGTTGGGAAGACCCGGTTGACTGCAAGGTTTGTAACCTGGGGATCCACTCTGACCGGGTCCACCACATCCATTTCCGTTTCCGCTACCAGGAGCAGCTCCGTTCAATGTCGGACCAGCTCCGTTTCCATTAGGAAAAGATCCTTGGGGCCCTTGAGAGGCGTCAATCGGACTCACGCCTCCTATTGGTCCAGGAACTTTATCGACGTTGGGAAGACCCGGTTGACCGCAAGGTTTGTAACCTGAGGATCCACTCTGACCGGGTCCACCACATCCATTTCCGGTTCCGCATCCTGGTGTACCAGGAATACAAAGACCTATTCCACTCCCGGGTTGCCCAAGTGACGGACTCTGATTTTCAGGATAGCCCGTTCCTGGACCAGGCCAGCCAGAGTTATAACTTCCAGAGGGTGCTCCGTGAGGTCCGCTTGGATAGGGGGCCTTAGTTGTTCCTGCTCCAGCATGCGGTACTGGGTTATAGGTCGGCTTCGTGACTCCAGCATCTTCGTAAGATTGAGGTTGATAAATAGGCTTCGCTGTGGTAGGATTTCCATATGGTCCAGATTGGTAAGCAGGCTTTGTAGTTGCTGTACCTCCATACGGACCTGGTTGATAAGGATTCTTCGTGGGTTCTTGTCCATTATAAGGATCAGGTTGATAAGCAGGTTTTGTAGTGGCTGTATCTCCATACGGACCTGGTTGATAAGGATTCTTCGTGGGTTTTTGTCCGTTATAAGGACCAGGTTGGTAAGCAGGTTTTGTAGTGTCACTACCTCCATACGGACCTGGTTGATAAGGATTCTTCGTGGGTCCTTGTCCATTATAAGGATCAGGTTGATAAGCAGGTTTTGTAGTGGCTGTATCTCCATACGGACCTGGTTGATAAGGATTCTTCGTGGGTCTTTGTCCATTATAAGGATCAGGTTGGTAAGCAGGTTTTGTAGTGGCTGTATCTCTATACGGACCTGGTTGATAAGGATTCTTCGTGGGACCTTGTCCATTATAAGGATCAGGTTGATAAGCAGGTTTTGTAGTGGCTGTATCTCCATACGGACCTGGTTGATAAGGATTCTTCGTGGGACCTTGTCCATTATAAGGATCAGGTTGATAAGCAGGTTTTGTAGTGGCTGTATCTCCATACGGACCTGGTTGATAAGGATTCTTCGTGGGACCTTGTCCATTATAAGGATCAGGTTGATAAGCAGGTTTTGTAGTGGCTGTATCTCCATACGGACCTGGTTGATAAGGATTCTTCGTGGGACCTTGTCCATTATAAGGATCAGGTTGATAAGCAGGTTTTGTAGTGGCTGTATCTCCATACGGACCTGGTTGATAAGGATTCTTCGTGGGACCTTGTCCATTATAAGGATCAGGTTGATAAGCAGGTTTTGTAGTGGCTGTATCTCCATACGGACCTGGTTGATAAGGATTCTTCGTGGGACCTTGTCCATTATAAGGATCAGGTTGATAAGCAGGTTTTGTAGTGGCTGTATCTCTATACGGACCTGGTTGATAAGGATTCTTCGTGGGTTCTTGTCCGTTATAAGAACCAGGTTGGTAAGCAGGTTTTGTAGTGTCACTACCTCCATACGGACCTGGTTGATAAGGATTCTTCGTGAGTCCTTGTCCATTATAAGGATCAGGTTGGTAAGCAGGTTTTGTAGTGTCACTACCTCCATACGGACCTGGTTGATAAGGATTCTTCGTGAGTCCTTGTCCATTATAAGGATCAAGTTGGTAAGAAGGTTTTTCCGTGGTTGACGGTCGGTCAAGAGGATACGATTGATGTGAGGGTTTCGATGTTTCAGAGGGACCATAACTAGGCGCAGGCTTGGTTGTTGCTGTATTCCCATGGGGCGCTTTATTAGTACCATGAGGTTTGACTCCAACTGGACTTCCTGGAGCTGGATTCACGTTTATATAAAAGATCTGGCTGTCCCCGCCGTGAGGTTTAGGACGGTTGGGACCAGGTTTGTTGCTTCCGGCATTAGAATTTGGCTTGCCTGGAGTCGAACCTGGGCCGTGTGGTCCACTCCCTGGGTGTGGTTTCCTACCGCCAAGATACGGATTGTCTTCGTGAGTTTTCGGGGTAGTTCCAGGTTCAGAAGAACCTGACCCGTGTGGTCCACTTTCTGGATACGGCTTGCTACCACCAAGGTATGGATTGTTTCCGTAAGGTTTCGGAGTAGAACCAGGTCCAGAAGGACCTCCTTTCACTCCATCGTAACTATTAGGAGTTGCACTTTCTGTTCCATAATCTGGCTTCTGCCCTCCGTGAGGGCTGCTTTCGTTCGGAAAAGTCGGGGTTCCTGGAGGTCTGAACGGGCTGGACGGAACGTTGGGCGAGATTGGTGGCCGAGGAGTTCCGCTTCCTAGTGCTCCACTATTTGATCCACTTCCAGGTGCTCCACTATTTGGTCCACTTCCTGGTGCTTCACTACTTGGTCCACTTACAGGTCCTCCTACTCCACTATACCCTGTAGCTGCGGCATTCGTCCAAGCACCCGATAATGCACCGGTTTGAGGATATCCCGTCTGTCCTGTGCTTCCAGGAATTCCAGAACCTCCGGGACGTTCAGAATATCCTGGGCTACTTGGATTTCCTGGAGCGCCGAAACTTCCAGGAGTCCCCGGATATCTGGAATCGCCGACGTTCCCTGGACTATTAGCACCTGCTGGACCTCCGGGATTTCCAGGACTTCCAGGAGCAATCCCGTGTGGTTCGTAACCGGGATTACTTGGAGGCGAACCCTTTCCTGTATCTCCAGCAATTGGTCCATACGAAGGACTGATAGGAATGCCATGAGGTCCGGATTGCTCGTTGGGTTTAGTCCCGCAGTTACCATAGGGACCAGGCGAACATCCACTCGGCGATCCCAGTGGATTGTACCCTCCTGTAGGACTCGTCGAATAACCAACAGGTCCTGGTTGCTTCGGAATGCCAAACGGTACCGGTGCCTGTTTCACGGGGCCAACGCCGCTGGGACCTACGCACGAAATAGAGGATCAGATCCACCTTTATAGCAGTCGATGCATTCAACAGAAAAACTAATCATCAAATGGGATATCATAATTACGGCTAACCTTGACCGCAGCTCGAACCAGGCTGATTATTGCCAGAACATCCGGAACCTGTTGCAGGCCTATTTTGCCAGCCTGCGCCTGGCTGATTGCCTGGCTGTGGTCCAGCTCCGAATGATCCTGGCGCGGAACCACCTTTTCCTTGATTCCACAGGGGCTTGGGAGTGGTGCCGACACCGCTATTCCACCCTGAACCAGGCTGCTGATTAGGATGTTGATTAGATCCGTAACCACCTATCCCTGGTGTTTTATCCCCACCATTAACGTTTCCGAATCCCGTTTTTGGTACTTGTCCTGAACCAGGTGCACCCAATTTCTGGACTCCCGCTGGAGTGCCGGATTTGCTTCCATGACCATGATGACGATGTCCTTGTGCGTGCTCAGGTCTGTATTGTCCATCGTCCCCGTCATCGCAGTCATCCTCGTTCTCCTCTTCCGGCTCCGTTTCATCCTCCTCTCTCTCCCAATAGTCGTCGTCCTCCCACTTGCATTTCGAACAGCCGTTCCCCTGATCACCTTTGTTTCCTGTTCCAGGATGACCAGAGGAATCGTCGTGTGCACCCTCTCCACGATTGTCGTTCACGTATCCAGTGTTGTCGTAGCTACGAATCCCCTTGTGTCCATCGTGGCCCGTTTCACCTCCAGAATATTGCCCGGCGAATGTGTTGGCGCCACTGAATGCGGACGCACCTGCGTATGCATTCGCGGAAGCGCTGCCTGTTGCAAGAACCCCGAGATAAGCTTTATTTGTTGGCTGATAAATTATTCAAGTAGCCATAAGTAATAAGTAGACTGCAGATTTTTATGCAAATTAACATTTTCCAAAGTAGTTTATAAAGACAGGAGCAATTGTAGAAATTTATTTTTCCTTTTAAGTATCTTATTGGGTTCAGACTAAAACAAAAAAATTAATGGATCCGATGAAAGTTTTGGTTTTTATTGTATTTCACAGAGCCCTATGCGCTATAAATGCATAAAATCTGCAGTCTACTGATAATTAAACCAACTACTAGCGAGCCGAGATAATTCTGTTAAACAACATACGTACTGTACGCGAGGCTGCCACTCCCGGCGTTCGTCCCGTGAACCCCTAAAAACAACGAACACCATATACATCTGTATTTCTGGAGCCAGAGTGTATTAAGTCACACTTTTCAAACTTCAGAGGAGAGCAAATCAAAGGTCTGAACTGTTCGGTAAGAATTTAGCAAGAAACAATCTCTATATCTAGAAATGGTAAATTTTAAACTAATTCCTCTATGTGATGGACTTTACACTGTTTCAAAAATATAAACTTAATATCATATGCACACTATTATATACCTATAAAGACTATAAGACGACTTAGAACGGAATAATGTTTACCACCGGAAAATATTTGATGCCGAACACATGTTAAATGTAATTTTTTCAAAAAGTGGGCTTAATACACTCTAGCACTGGGGTCCAGATATTGAATTCGATGCGTCAAGGTATATAAATAGGCACACCGTGAGGAATGCGAGGACACTCAACGAGGTACTGACCACTAGACTCCCGAGAGAGAATTGAAAAAAAAAAGGAGAAACGCGTGTACACCACAGACTTCTATATATAAAGAATAATAATAATTAATCGTGGTGTACACGGGCCAGAGAGGTTCGCGTCGTATCCGAGCAACAAGAAACACAATCGATACAAAGTTTAGTTACCTAATCCGAGAACGAACACAGCGATCAGAAGAAGAAACGTCGGAGACCGGTTCATCTCGAGACCGTTCGCAACTGTCGATTCCTTTGTGGTCCGCGAGCCTCGAGCCATTGCGAAGCAAGCCCCGATCGATTATTTCTATATATAAGGATACCCCCAGCAGTGAAACGACACGCTCCTCACGAGCATCATCCCCGACCGCAAAAAACAACGAGGCGCCGCCTCTCCCCGGCGTGAGTGGCGCGTGGATCCCAGCGGCTATTGTTCAGTTCTCTTTCTACCGGACGTATCCCGTCGGTTCAGCCTATACGACACTTCGTATAACTGCTTCAAACATATATCATTAGCCCTATATGAAGCAATTATACCATGGACTTAAACCGGCATGATTTTAATACCGATTTTATGCCATCAAAGCTATATCGAAACCGATATGTTACTAAAAACCGAAATAAATACCGGTATTTTTTCGGTTTCTATAAGAATAGGGCTTATATTGGGTTATATAGGGCGAAGGTCCAACCGAAAGTACCGGTATAATACCGGTATTTTGCGATTCGGTAGAAGTCCCTGCTTCGTAAAATCACTCGTGGATGAGGCATGGCTGGTTTCAGGAGCTGACTTCATTCCGCTTTAGGAGTTTCCCGAGTGTGTTCGATCGGTTCCTCTCCGCATTCCTTCCTCGCGAGGAGAACCGTGGGGAACATGCAAATTGGAGCGTAACTGATCGCCGTCGCTTCATTGAAATTTACGACGTAACGTCCGGAATGATTTGCTGCGATGCGACGGGACCGGCTACGACATTCCTCCTGCGTGATTTTGTTTTTCCGTCTCGAGTGTCGATCGGCTACGAATTCAGTTGCGTGCTTCGAATGGTGCACCGACAGCGATTGTACGTTTTTAAATGGAAAAATTTATGAACAAGGACATTAGGAGTCGATTGTGTCTGTGTCATCACTGAAATTAGCTAAAGTGGCCTTAGACAGTACGATAGATTCGAGTGAACTCTAGGAAATGTATTAACATCAGAATGAGCAGCAGAAACGGTGATTTCGATGCTTGGTTCAAACGTAACCACTTGTTTCTAATGTCCCGCGTCATTTCGTCTTGGTTATCTGATCTATCGATGTATCATCGATGACCTCATACTCTGACGTTCGCGGAGTATATACTAGAATCAATTCTTTTCGTTCTTTGAATACGTCTATCATGCATAAAGAAACGATAATAATCTTCGCGCAAGTGTGAAATAACTATGCGCCCCTGAACAACCGCAACCGGTCCTGCTGCTATTCGCTGTATCGACATGTATCCAGGGGCCGTTTTAATTCATGCATACCGCCATTAGTCCGCTAAAATTCTTAACCGGAAATTATAGCGAAAAGCTTATTTTTGTCGAACTTTTTATGAATTTAATATTAGAAACTGTAGAAAATGTTACAAAATCATATGTGATGGTAATTTCAATTACCAGATCCGTCATTGTCAAAACTAAATGGTAGGATACCCTTCGCCTGTCTCACATTTCCCCTAGCGAAAGTCGAGTTTGCTCGCGAGGGTACTCTCATTCTCGATATCGATTGTTTTGCTTTTAATGACATTGTAATTCGGTTTCAATGTTACCAAAAGAAATAAGGAAAACATGCCGTGTAAGCACAAAGCACGGTCGTATACGACCATGGCATAAAGTGACGCAGTAGTGGGCAATAGTAGAGGGGGTATGTTTGGCTGGGGACGTGACATCAGTAACCGTCACACTTTCATTCGTAGTAGTGTATTGTACAGCATGGTGTGCACAAGTCGTATTAGGTATGTGATACATATAGCACTATGTGACGTAACTTTGTCCCTACGTTAAAACTACATATATACGTTTATTTCTTTCGTCATAATATAACCGCTTTCGATTTCAATCTCTTTAAAATTGCAACAATTAATTAAGCGTATGTACCGGACAATTGATTGCAGTCACAGACTTAAGTCTACGTAGTTTTTGATACCATTAAAGGTACGAGTTTCATTTAGCTGCTAAATTAGTACGACTGCGACTGTTTATGTTTTGTATTCATCTGTGCTTTCAGGTTAAGCATATTGTTTATCATGTGATAAACGTTATAGGATAGGAGTGTCAAATCTCGTGGAATCGGATATATTTTTTACACTGCAGTTTCCTTCAGTATTTACGGTGTTTTTTTTTTATATACAGTACCGAATATAGAAATTATTCAGTTTATCGACAAACTGTAAAATCTATGTCGCGTACATACAACAAAGTCCTTTTTCATAGATAATTGCTGCACGAACAAGTTTTGTAAGTGACAATGGATGTTAGCTTATTGTTTAAAGCCAGTGTAAAGACAGTAAGTCTTCGTAACAAAGACTTAGGAATCACAAACAATACCCAGAATGTAAAGAAACCGAGAAACAAAAGTCCTTTCTTTGTGAAAGTTCGAGCGGTTGTTGTGCACATTTCGAAACTACGTGAATTTTTATTAGAGAATCGTAAGGCATATCTGAACTTCTCAAACTATTTATCCTATGTACCGAGTATGACAGACTCAAACAGAGACGAAATAGATGTCGAAGCACAGAAAATAATGACCAAGTGTGCCTATTTGATCAAGGAATTAAGGAGAGAGGTTGCAGACTTTGTAGTCTCGCCTCAGAATTTAGAGCACCGAGAAATCATGTTGCTCTTAATAGAGGATTATCTAAAAAGTGTATGTAAGATTTATTCAGAGCAGAAAGCTATGCGTGTGAAGAGAGCAATGGAAATAAGAAAAATAGCAAAGTTAGAATTACAAGTGAAACCTGTAAAGCAGTTGGAAATTGAATCAAAACGAGCTAGTTTAAACTTTATTGAAAAAGTGGATGAGAAAGATGGTAAAGTTGGTTCCACTGACTCCAGTCCTATGAAGATTCAAGAAATAAACGGAGATGTTAATTCTCTAATGTACGAAGAAGAATTATCACCCGAGGATATACAGGTGTTCGAAGCAGAAAACGAACATTTGTACAATGAACTCAATACAGTCACAGAAGAAGTGAAACAAATAGAAAGTAAAGTGGTACACATTGCTGAACTGCAAGAAATATTTACAGAAAAGGTGTTAGATCAGGATAAAGATTTAGATCGTTTAATGACCACAGTTGTTGGATCTACAGAAAATGTTAGAGAAGCAAACGAACAGATTAGACAAGCTATTCAACGGAATGCAGGACTTCGAGTGTGGATTCTTTTCTTCCTTCTAGTTATGTCATTCTCCCTATTGTTTCTAGATTGGTACAACCCTTAAAATAAAGAAATGGTTTGGTAATTTTATTAACTCATTTGTACATACACTCAAAGAATGTTGTACATTATTCCTGATATTAACACGTATAATTCGTACTAGCTTGAAAACAAGAATGAATCGTAGTTTTGCCAAAATATGTCACTGTATTTTATCCCCAAAACATTTTACATAATACCTACATCTTACATAATAAAATTTGTAGTACATGTATACAATTACTTATATACACACATTCGCACATGTGCACTTGTCGCAAACAGTTTTGCCAGTTTATCGGTATTTGGTTTAACAGAAAATTATTCTGCAAATGAATCACGGGGAAATGCTGAAAACGTTCTTAAAATTATTCAAGATACATCCACTAGTATCTTATTCAATTAAACAAAAATCATTAATCCTATCGTAACTTGAAGTATTTATATAGGCAACTTGCTTGATATTTGTTTTTCGTTTTTACTGAACATATACCCACTTATATTTACCTATATGTTTATTTATATATGAGTAATGAAAGATTTCATGAATTTTTATTAATGGGATATATATCCAGTGCATAAAAATTGTAATGTGAATAGATTTAATGACCTGCTAGTACTGTTCCACGTAAAAAAATATTTACAGGATGTACCACACACTATTAGATTTGATTCAGAGATCGTTCGATTTTTCTATGTACTCATTTCATTGAAGAATAACAAAAACATTCAACATACTGAAAGCCAGTAAACCTTAGCTGTCGTATGATTTAAACAGATTTCTTCCAGTTACCGGTTACCGCCAGTTGCATTACACTCGGAACAGAAAAACATTCGTATCTCTCACACAATCGTTTTTAGAAATAGACGGTAGTTCTATTACTTTTATAGCCTTAGCTTGTCATTCCTATCTGAGTGTAACAGTTCTCGTACAGTTGAATACATTGTTTGATTATCATGAATGTACTAACACGATAAGAAACAATGTACTGTGTTATTTACATCATTCGTGTAAATATGAGTTATTCCTATCGAAAACAATCCGTGGACATATTCTACGTTGGCTATTTAAGATCCCACTAAACACGTCCATAGAAACATGAAACGGAACAAAGAATATAACATTTAAACAACGTAAATTACGATAAAAAATCATGAGACGTCTTCGTTAAAATTACAATTCTTTTTTTCTTATAAAAAGTGTTTTCCGACTTCGAATTCGATTTATACAAAATATTACAAAATTCTAACGTCTACAATTTCATGACAAGCGACATCGTACGTTATACCCATACCTTGGCCTCTGTCCTACCGCGAACAGTCACAGAAGCAGAACCTTCACACACCGGATATCCATATAATACACAATATTACCGTATGAAATATGTCTCGGTATCTGTCGGTCATAAATATTAACTTTACATACACTTCCTCGAAATGAACATACACGACTGTTACACAGTTATTTCTTAACTTACATTGACGAGAGAAAAAAAAAAATGGATTTTCAATTTTGTGGTCGAGTATCAAAGCAATATTTTAAAGTATTAACTACTTTATGATCCATAATTGTTTAAACAAGTAATCTAAGATAATACAATAAAAGTAAAAAATTTTAGAATCTGTAAAATGCAGGTTCTCACCTGTCGTTAAACTTAAAAGTTACGGTTTCGATAGTTAAGTGTACCTAATTCTGTATATAATTATATTTATAACGTTGTTGCGTATCGTATCGACATAGTTTTCCTTCTATCAAACACTGAACAACCCATGCTGTGGAAAGCAGCGGAACTTGCAATTCATTCGCCTTTTCTACCACCCACAATGGGGACGATCTGTTTGTAAGAATTACCACTGTTCCTTCCACAGAACTTTCCATTGTATCTGAAATAATATTCAATGTTCTTATTTAGCAACTATTTCTCACGTGGTATTTACAATCATGTAAGTGTTACTGGAGAGATTTCTCGTACCTGGTTTATCTGCCAACAGAACAGCAGCACCCGCGTTCTCACAAATCTGCTGCCAAAATGTGGTAAACAATTTCTCAGATTCTATATTTGGAATTATTATCATAACTTCAGCCAATGGCTTGTTACTAGATCTTTCGAACATTTCAACGTATGATTTCTTGTCCAAACTCCATCCTGCGGGTAATCCATCCTCAGCTGGATAACACTTGCCTCTTGACAGCACCTTATTATCCAATTATGATTATACGTCGGTATACCAACTGAAAGACACAACAGAGTCTTCGCAGTTGTGTTTGGCACGTTTGTTATCAGCTTTGTACTTTTGTACTCTTCCTGTGGGATCTCATTGAAATCCGTATAAACTTTCCCACCACCAGCTATTATTTGCGTGTTTAATCTATCTCTCACGAAAGGCTTCTTGGACCATTCTTCTTCGTTTTCTGTACCTGGATCCGAACTGGAATCTTTGATGTCAGATTGGTATCGATCAAGTGTCTCTAAAGGTGCACAGGTAAGAATGAAGGACATGCCTTTAAATAAATTTGAATCCTTATTTGGTATTGGACCCAGGGTTGCGATAGTCTGTTCATCGTCTACTTTTTTCTTACTTCTGGACTTGCTTTTAATACGATTCTGTGGTCCTTTCACAAATTGTTCGTAGGGAGTTCCAATTATCTCTGGTTGCACACCAATGGATGATATTTCATCCTTTATGGAAAGATTCGAGTCACTGGAAAGACCATCACTTTCGGAGACTGTTTTCATTTCTTTTTTAACTGCAGATGCTACACCGGAAACAGACGGTTCCGCTATGTTTCTACCTGTAGGTGTGTTCGTTAATTTGGACTTGGGTGTTGAAAAAACAGGGGTCCCGATTCGCCGAGAACGCCTTTTACCATCGACCATATTGTCTAATGACACTTGACTTAAATGCTTGGGTGTAGATGGAAGACTTTTATTTCCCGAGTTTACTTCTTCTTTCAGCACCTGAGCTTGATCAGAGGACAAAAAGATATCTTTCACTTGAACTTTAACTTTTTCTCCTTCGTCTGTTTCCACTGTATAATGTACTTCATTATTTACAATGTGTACATCAACAATTATACCACAGGATCCGTAGTCATCATTTTTCGTGGTAGCGTAGACAGACAAACCTTCCCTTAATGTTTTCGGTATAGTTATGATAAAGTCCTCTATGAGCACTTTACTCTTACCATCATAGAAGCTTACTTTATATTTTGTTTTTACTTTATCGATAACTGTACCGGGATAATAATTGTTATCGGACCATTTAGCGAACACATCATTCCCAATTAGGTCATCCACTTGCGATAATGGTTTCATTGAAGCATCTACGGAATCACTGTCAACAGATTCTGTTTTAGTTAAAACCTTATTCAATCCATTAGAATGATTATCTGATTTTGTGCTCTTGTTCCGTGGCCTTTTTACAGCTTTACTTTTCTTAGAGCTTTTAGGAGTTTGTACTTGAACGACTTCTTGAGGGACCTCTGGTGTAGAGGATCGAATTTTCTGTATCTGATCGTCTATCCGTTCGTTACTAACATTGGACGTATCGATACCACTGAGTTCGGAGTTTACAAAATTTAAAACACTCGTTGTCAGGAGATGACTATTCTGCCATTCCTTAGTTAGACGATCATATGCATCGTCTGTCGCTTGCTTATCATTCAATGACTGCATGTCTTGAACGTGTTTCTTTGCGTGTTTCGCAGGTCCTCTTGGTAAAGGAAAGTGCGTACTATCTCTTATTGCTAACTTAGCTGCTAATGACGCAGCACTAGAAACAGAACTTAAAGAGCTGATAGTTGATGCAAATGAAAGCCTAGATGGGTTTAATGGGTATAACTGTGGATTACTGTTTATCGATCCGGGCGATGCATCTTTATTGTCGTTTCCAGAGATATCTGCCAAAGAAGCAGAAGTATCGTTATTTTTCTGTCGTATTAATGTAGGCTCTGCAACAGCTTCACACTGCACACCAGTGATCTCCTTGCGCAGAAATTCTTTTGTACCTTCATCAACTTGTAATAAACATTTCACTCTAACATATACACAGATTTCTTTTTCCATCTGGAAAGTCTTTGTCATAGAACTACTGTGCGTCGAGGTCGATTTACTTTTATCGTCCACTATAAAAACATCAGATTCATTTTCGCTTACGCTCAATAGATCAGCATGATCGCTATCCTTGGACACAGAAGCGATTGGTTTGATTTGCCTGTTCGTATTATGCACAGGCATTGAAACATTGTTGTCTGCTTTGTCAAGCACGATTGGCATATCGCTAAAAGTATCGGATTGCAGACTGGCTGTACTGTCTGAATCGCATTTCTTGGATTCACTGCTTCCGTTAACAAGCTTGCTACCAGTTTTAACAGTATCAAGGGACGACTCCTTAGTCGTTTCTACTGATTTGTAACTGAAGTCGCTACTGCTTTTACTATCGTAGCAACTTTTGTATACTGTTTCAGCCTTTGTATTATCCAAAGCATTCTTACTGTCTGTTTTCAAATCAGATTCTTCTTCGGACGAATCCAATACAATTTTTTCTCCATCTTCATCAATCTCTACCAACTCCTTTGGCTTTGTTTTATTATCATGAACAGCGGTTCGATCATATATGAGTTCTATGCTGTTCCTGGATTTACTTACATTGGAATGAGATTCATTTGATGGTTTCCTAGAAACTGATATGTCTTCAGTTTCATTAATTTTGTCTCCTAAACTGGTATGTGTTGTAGATTCAATACCATTTTCTTTTTCTCCTGCTTTCTCAGTCTGTGCTGTTTCATCAACTAGTACACAGATGTTTGAGTCTTCAGTTGGCTTTAAACCATCTGGACTTGTATTGTTTTTATCCGATACTGTTTTCTCTGTTGTAATTGCACTTTCTTCTTTCGTATCGCTAGTTTCTGTGTTTTCATTAACTTCTCTACTCGTAACAGCTTCGTTCAGTTTCAATGTATTATTAAAATTTTCATTTTTATCTATTTCCTTCACCTGCGATTCTAAATGATTTTTATCCTGATCCTTGGCCTGCTCCTCATCTGTAACAGACTTGTCCATTGTGGTTTCCATAACATCGTCCTCTAGGGTATCTTGAGTTTCTGCAATTATTACATTAGTATCAACACAATTTTTGGAAAAGTCCTGTCGAGTGTTGTCAGACTGGAATAATTGACTCTCTTCTTCCTGAAATTCTTTCTCCTCTGGCATCGATGTATCTTCAATGGAAATTGTTCTTAAAATCTTTTTTGGTGGTTCATCGAAGGATCCTGCTTTACGTTTTAGGCTTGTTATTCCTGTATTGCTAGGAACCAGCTGTTTTGCTGGTGAATGATCTTCTGGTGGTGTGCATTGTATTATCTCCTCATCTTCTTCAACAGGTTTATCTTCACTTTGGCAGGTACTGTTATCGTTGCTTATTTTTTCTTTTTCCACTGTTTCAAGCAACTCTGCTTCTTTCATATTTTCTTCTCTTGAAATATTAGCAGCATCGCCATCAGAATCAGATGGTTTGCTTTCCACTGCTATAGTTTCAGGCACACTCCCTACAGTCTCTATGTTATCAGTTAAAGAGGAAGACATTACTTTTACAGACATTTCTTTACCTGAAGAACCATCGTCATCAAAGTCTACAAGATGAAAGTCTTGACTCTCATTCATATTAAGTCCACTATTACTCATGTCATTATGCTGGCCCAAGCTCTCGGAACCAATACGTTCAGTCTCCATTGTGCAATTTTCATTCTTTTCGGAGTCTGACATTGTTACAGCCTTTCCAGTGTAACACTGAAATAAAAAGAATTGAATGAAAATTTTCCGAAAGGATATTTTTATTAACGTACTCTTAAAATAAGATACGCACAATAAAACGTAACGAACGGAACAGAACAGACGCCTTACAACGAGGTCTGATAAAAATTCGAACCAAAATTCAAGGACACCCTATATAACGATACGGTGTTTACAACGAGTACGGAAGGTTACGGCGGGAACGTCATATGATCGTGACCATTTCATGAAAATTTCGTGCCATAAGTAATATAACGTACCAAGATCAATGACATACAGTGTACCGTGACTTCTCAACGGGATTATTTTCGTCGATTCCACAAAATATTACATTTGCCGCCGAAGACAAATATGTTCGCCGGCCGTCGAAAGCGGGAGCTCATGTATTTCTTCTAGGCCGTTCCCTTCTCGTTTCGTACCAGCTATTAGTCTCACTTATGTGTCCTTTTGCAATATCGATCACAAGATTCACATTAATAAACCGGTCTCCCATAGAAAATACAACGAAAACGCCACTTTTTAATCACAAAGGAACACAGACTATGAAACGCCATCGCCACTTTTCGGTAATCATAGATTATGTAATTCTAGATTGGCGGGGTTTCGGCTTGCAAACGAGAAGCCGCGAAAAGCTGTGTATCTAACGCCGACCAACGCAGACCAGACTCGGCTTCCGCTAGGAGAAAAAGTGGCGTAAAAGAAAGGCCTCCTACCAATTAGTAAATTTATTTCAAGTACTGAAATAAATGTTAAATCGAATGTTAATTTGGCATACATTTCAGTAATTCCAAATACCAAATGGTAGGAGACTTTTTCCCTACGTTACTTTTTCCCCTAGTGGAAGCCGGTTTGGTCGTTGGAGTAGTGAAATTATAGTAGTGATGGTAACTTCACTTCGATCACTCTATGGTTCATCATAATGTCTTTAAAAAAAGCAAAAAGAAATTTGCAGGTAACCAACTATTATCTCCCACGGTGTCAAATTGTTTATTGAATTTTTGCTTACTGAGTTCCCCCGAATTGATAGGGATCATCAGCGATATTTGTACATTCCCGTTTCAATGAAAAATTAAGTATTAGTTAAAAACGTAAGAAGAAACCAGTAGTGTTCAGAGGTGCGAATATTTAGTTAGTAATTCTTGATCAGTAATTATTATTTTAAATCAAAGCAAAACGCATCAGCGCCCTCTCTGATCTCGATTGCGGAATTAATTGATTAATAGCTTGATCAGTTTGCCGTAGATGGCACCACGTGTCAATTCTGAACACATATTCAAACGCTTCATGTTCTTCTATCGGTAGGTGTCGATACTAAAATTTAAATTTTCTAATTTTTTGTATTACGGTACCATACTCTATTGTCTGCCAATATTGGAAAACGATGGCTGTTAAGAATAACGATATCGTTCTACAAATTAATGAATTGAATATCGAATTAAAAAAGAAACTGGAGGTGGTTTCAAAGTGGCGAGGTACGCGTACAATATTCTGCTTTATACTTATGCTTTTTCTAAACCATAATAAAAAGTAACGGACGAGTATCTGATATTCTCGTATTTCAATTTATGTTCAGTGGAGTGTGCCGAATTGCAATTGGAATTTCTAAAACTGTACACTCCCCAAATGATCGAAATCTTGGAATCATTGAAAGAACTGGAAAATACGAATATTGATTCAAACAACGAATCGTTGGTCCAACGATCATGACAAATTTCAAGCGACCGTTCCAGTGGATTATTCATTATTTAAACGTTCATGAAAATTCATCGATATCGGAATCTACAATAAACGAAACGAGGTACATTTATGTTGAAATATATTTGTATTATATTCGAATACAGATCAGACACATAGACTGTATCCCACAGTTTTATAACCTAAGGACAGACAATAATAGATATACGCTTTCTTATCCGACCAAATGGAAATATATACTATAGTTAACGTCGCAGTAACTCCTTTCAAATCTCACCGAACTTCCTTCGAAATATGTTGCGTTTCGATATTTTATCATTCTGTACCATAGAAAAAGAAAAATAAATTCTATTATAACGTTGAATCGTGCAGCACCTTTCGGAAGTATCTGTATGTTATAAATGGAACGAATCAGCATAAATATTAATTGTTTATTCCGTGAATACAAAGAATACTGCTGGAGGTCATAAGTTATCCTTTTGGGTATCAAGGACGGTGTTGTTTTTACTGTACAATTATTTTGTTTGCGAGGCCGCCCATCCGAACATCATCTTTCTTAATCTTTCGTTGAATTTCTATGCAGAATGTTTCACATAAAATAATAATGTAACTCGAAATACTTTTTCTTTTAACAAATGAAATTTATTCAGACGGTAGGGGTGGAATAGATCCGATAAATAACAACTGCCGCGACTCGATAGTGATCATTATTGACATTCTTTCGTGAAAAGTACAATGAAGTGTCAGTCAACTATTATTGTCGCTCATTGTTTCAAAATTCCGTTTACTGACGAAGAATGGAAAGGGAAGTTGTAAAAGAGCTATAATTTAACCGTCAGTTAAAAGTCGTTCAGACGAAACATACACCTCGCAAATGGAACAATTTCTTTGCCTCGCAGTTTAAAATCCAATCATTCATATATGGACGACGAAACAATGTTTCCACGGAATATAATCATTTTGTTGTTAACGCAAGAACAATCGGATGATCTTCGATTTGATATTCAGGAGCGTTAGCAGTATTCTCGAATCGGCTTTAAAATTTCGGTAAACTCTCCGCTAATTCCGATAATTCGAATTCGAATAAAAACGAATCATTTAATCTTGTTTTAACCTCACAGAAAAAGGAAGAAAATGCTTGTCGCAGCTTTTTTAATCGCACGAAAAGCGAATGGAAGTATCGAAAGTTGACTGCAATCAACTAAAACACGATTCGAGGTCACATTTTCGTCAGAGTCCCATGTTTCAGTTTTTCTCGACAGAGGATGCTCTGTGTGACTTGGACTGGTCACCGCTTTATATTTTATTCGAATCTTTTCCTTTTATCGATCCGTTTGTTGCGAGCCGACCATGTCGTAACCACTTTTCAATCGTCCCTCCTGTATTGTACATTAAATAAACAGTACAGCTTTTTTCTGGCAGGCCACCATTTGATTCTTTGTTAGCGATAGCGTATCACAAATTTTGTCAGTTTCCACGAAGTAATCGTCAAAGCACTGGTGCCTTGAATCATTCGGCATCTGAAATTCGTTGAAAATTAATTGAATTTATATTTTAAACGCGTATGCAATAGCTTCAATGTCTCCAACATGTATTGCCATTATGAAAGCCTCGTTTAAAAGGCGTAAATCTAAAGTGAAAAAGATGCTTACGCAGGAGAAACAGGTATGCAGGGCAATGCAGGGCACATAAAACATTTGCAATGCTTCTACATCGAACATGGCTGCGGCCCTGCATTGTTGGTCAACCTTTTTCAATTTTGCACAGGCTGCAATCTCGTCGTCACCTTACGAATACACGTTAAAAGGTCAGCATTAGATTATCATAATTGGTAGCGTTAATCGACCGAACTCGATACCTTCGGTTTCGCCTATGTTTTTATTGGTACGCTTCTCGGTCTGCTTAGAAGGATCGTTGTTTTCCCGAAAGTTCGACGTCTGATTGGGTTGAGGACGAGCCGTAAAACTATTCCTGAGGTCATACAGAGCTTTTCTCATTTTTTCGAGTGAATATTGAGCGGCCAATCGCGCCATTACTTTGTCCTTCACCTGTTGTTCGATTCACCAATATATCATTAGTAACTTCCCGATAGCTTCCCCCAGATAGCACGTGACGCCTTGAAGACGCCTATTTGACGGATATTTTATGTCTAAGACGCCTTCAAGCCGTTTTTAAGGCATCATTCGGTGTCATGTGCTATCTGGGTCTAATTTATACTGTAGAATTCTATGTATACAGGGTGTCCCACGCAACTGGAACAGGCTTGTACCTCCTAAACGGTTGGGAATAGAAGAAAGTTAAATGGTATCAGACGGTGCCTAATATGCAACTAATTTTATGCACTTTTGTGCATCGGTGCATCCGAAAAATGCACCTGCACTTTTTTTTTAAAACGGAAACCTATGTTTTGGACTACATCAATCGATGCAGTGTCTTATAACATCTTCTTCTATTATCAACCGTTTAGGAGGTACAGCCTGTGCAGTTGCATGGAACACTCTGTATAATACAATCTTCCAAATATACACCTTTTGCAAAGTAGCTGCTTCCTCCGTGTCCGCGTATCTCAAAGCCTTCTCCATGATCAAATCCTCCAGCTTGACGTTCCTGTCAATATTCTCTTTCTTATATTCCCGATCGTTTCCTCGTAGATTGTCACCCATATTCTAAACAATTCACCGATTCGGTTGCTTCAATCAATGCCGAGTGTCACGATAATTCATCAAATGACTTTTATTTACCTCATAATATCGTTGCAACATCCACTCATCGTCCTGATTTTGCGTTCCCTGGCCGGCCATCAATGATGCCTTCTTCCTCCTTCGATCAATACCGAAATATTGCGACCAGTCGACACTCTTCTTTCTGACTTCGATGGACTTGGACTTGCCGAGTTTCGTCGCGTTCTCCTTTTGCCCTTTCGCCGGTGGAGTCACTTTTGGCGACTCCGAGGTACTTTCGTGGTTCTGCTTATCGTGATCGTGCTCGTGATTGTGATCATGATCGTGATTATGATTATGATCATGATCGTGGTCATGATTGTGCTCGTGATCGTGTGTGCGATTCCGGTTATTGGAGGGCTGAGTGCCGAACAACGCTCCCAAATCTTGGGCAACCTTTAACATACGACAAGTGCCATATAAACAGTTCTACATTTTATACAGGGTGTAACAAAAAGGTTGGAGGACGAATGGGAGATTCGTGAGGTGATTTGAAACAGGTTTTTGCTAAGGAAAAACTTGTTTCAAATCACCTCACGAGTCTCCTATTTCGGGGTCCCCCAACAGTTTTGTTACACCCTGTATATTACTGGTCGTTATAGTAATTTAAAAACATAACATTTTCTCTTCATTCTAGATTCGTGAGACTACCTTAGGGTCGGTGACCCGTTCCCTCGTAGCCAATGGTTGCGGACTTCTCTTAGCGACTGAATATCGCTTCACCATGTTTCGATACGTTCTAAAATCACGATCGACCGGATACCTTCCGTTGACGACGTTCCTCCGTTCAGCCAACGTCAGGTACAATAAATTAGGATCTTGTTCACGATCAGAGTACTCGTTCTCGTCGACTTCTGCATTTTGTGCACGCGACAGAGCCTCCTTGTTCAGTGCTTCGCCCCAAGACATCGATCCAGTATTTCTGGGAAAAATTTAGCGAAAAAATGATACAGAATTCGGTATAAATATTCTAAAGAATGATATAACAAATGATTCGTTCAATATCAATTTCCTAAGTATTATTTCGTAACGGAATTACAGGCATTTACAAATTGGATTCTCGTGGCGCCTGACGGTAGACAACCCGCCTTTCATCTATGCATGTGACCACCATTCTTGCGGTCTATCTATCGCCAGGCACGCGTATTTTCGAACAAAAAAGGATTATTTTTTATTCACTGACTCGTAGAGCTTGTTGTTCCCGTGGTTGGGCCTGAATCGGTCGTAAAGTGCTTGACGACCATCCATGTACATTTCATCGTCCACATCGCCGAGGCTGTAAGGCGATGATCCGTCTTGTTCATCCAGAAACAGTTTAGCCAATTCTTTATTGTCGACGCCGACGATTCTATGTTCCTTATAAATAGACTGTGGATTTTTATGCATTTATAGAATATTCGTTCATCTAAAATACGAAATAATGAAAAGTTTTAAAGAGGATATTCAGGTTTTCTTTTTATTTTCAACTACCCAGATAGCAGATGACGCCCTCAAGACGCCCGTTTTACGGTTATTTCAGGTCTAAGACGCCTTTAAGGCGTTATCGAGCGTCATGTGTTATTTGGGCTAGAACCTTTAACAGGAAAAATGAAATTTCCTGTGCATCCAGTTTCGAGAAAATAATCCATAAATTCTATTATTTCCATAAACATCTACAGTTTACTTAAAACGATGCGACGGTATATCCGGTACCTGTTGCGGGGCACTCTCCACGTAATCTATCAAGGCTCTCTCCAGTAACTTGTTGTTGAGATCCTGAAAACCGTTCCCCACAGTCTCGAGTTGTCCAACTTCTGCAAGTTACGCAAGCAAATTGTGTTAGACTGTTTTCCAATAAGTTATACATTGCTTCAAAGATATAACGTTAGCCATAAACCTGATCGACCCTGAAGCTTATGTGTTTGGTAGCCTAATCCTGTCATTCGATAACAATTTATTGTATAACACTGTTTTTCTACGTAGTGTAGACGCAACTTAACGCTACGGGCGTAGCCAAGTTATCAGTCAGGGGGGCAAAAATATTTAATAATTTTTAAAAATGCTTTACGTAGCCAGACAGACATTATTTTGTTTTTAAAGTCATAAATCGTTGAAAATGTATGCGTTTTATTAATAGAGGCTGTTGATCGTGTTTCGAAATATACTGCAATATTAAATATTACGCAAACATTTTGTAACTGGGAGGGGATGGGGGGGGCAAAATCCAATTTTTGTCTGATAGGATGGGGCAAAAGCCACTTTTTTCTGTCCAAAGGGGAAGGGCAAGTGCCCCCTGGCTACGCCCATGCTTGGGGACCTCTCTGGAGCCTTCGGACAATAATTGAGAATTTACTGCACTTGCCAAATGATGAAAAAAAAAGTCAAAATACGCACATAGCGAACGCTATATCTCTGAAGCAACATACTCGACGTTTCGTTTATATTAGAACGATAATACCATTCGGTAGAAATTCGATCTCCTCGTCCTCGACGACGATTTCTCTTTCGCCTTGTCGATCTCTGTCGAATTTCCGGTCAGCATCGTCGCCGTGATACTTGAACGATCGAAGATCATTGTAATAATCTTGGGAAGTGCTGTCCAAGGATCTCTGTTTCCTGCAGGAACCATCGCCGTCGCTGTTCCAGCGATTAGGAATATCAGTAGCCATTCTTGCCGCTGCATTTTTCCTGTCGAGTCATAACAGACACGTTCGAATGAGAAATTCAAGTTTTCGTGTGACTCGCAATCGGGGTGGTTTGATTTATTTTCTTATTTTGTCTCCAAGAATCACCCCTTAAATTTTTGCCCCATTAGTGATCGAACATCCTGTATATGTATGTATATCTGGACCGCAGAGTGTATTAACTCCACTTTTTAAAAACAAATACCTCGAGAGCTAATAATTTTTTTGCCATGGTACCCTAATAATTTTTTACGTAGAATGAATACAGGAATCGATCTGTGTAACAAACAATATCCATTTCCATGTAAAGAAATGATGCAATTGTTAATTACACATACACTGTTGCGCTTGAAAAAAATCTAAGAGCCTACAGGTGTAGTGCTCTTCGAGCCATTTATCTTTCTCCTTTGGCATTTTTTCATAAATGCATTGATAACGAAATTATGACCTGAAACAATTGCGTGGACCTCCCTGTATAATATACCTATAGGTTGAATAGTAAAATTTCTAAATAGTAAAAATCTAGTCACGTTGTTCAGGTTACAGTTTCATTTTGCAACAATAATTTTTAAATATCAGACACATACAAACACACATCTATTTGCCTATTTTTATGTAAATCAGTGTCCCAATATAATAATACATTATTTTTATATACTATTCTTTATACGTCACGTTGTTATTAAGTAAAATAAATAAAATAAATAAAATGACACTATTAGGGACACTGACAGTAATTGGGGCATTTACCCTATAATATTCGTGACGCGATTCCGTTTAGAAATGTCCATCTTTCATTGGCCGCGAAGGGTGAATCGTTGCCGAAGGGATTCAGAAGTTCGATCGCTTGACCCTGTGCCGCAAGGAAAGTATTCCATGTATGTCACTAGCTCTACGTGACAGTGTTTCAGTCGGTTATCGATTCCGTTGAAAAGGGCACCCGAAGTCCCTCGCTCGATTGAAGACGTAGTAACGACGTCCGGCATGTGATGCAACAGGGATTTTCGCGGTCGGACCAGTAACTGGGGTCGCGTATCGGTTGATTTTAAATAGTAAACACAAGTTTACGATCAATCGTCTATTATCGTTTCCTTACAGATCATTCGTGTGACCTTTTTTCCCCGGGAAACATCGTGCAACAATGTTTGACGAAGCAACCGGAAGGGATTAAAAACGACAGTTCCGTGGAATCTTAACAGTTTTTGGTGTGCCTTCGACGAAACGACTACGGCTCACGAAGATCACGTTAAGTTTAACAGAAACTTTAAAGGTGAAAGGTGAATAAGCTACGCTCGGTAATATTCCAAGACGATTATCATCACGTCCGTTCGCGGATCGATAAACGTTTCGCCTCAAAACGAATACTTGCACCGTGATCCTCGTTCCGTAGATTTAATAAACGAATTCCAGCTTTCGACGCATCCTTGCCGGTGATTATCGGGGCTGTCCCCACACAACGAGCATTCCATCTATTTCGGAATGTTATCAAGTCGGCGAGTTGACGCGCGACGGATCGATCATTCACCTTTATAACGCGAACTTCCACGGTCACCGGTGTCGGCACCGTGTGCACCGAGAGTAGCTAACAGATGGTCGAACAGAACACGATCAACGGAATCCCTAAACGATTTTTCAACACGAAACACACATTATGCAATTAATTTCGACATTGTGAAATTAATTGTCCAACAAACAACACAAACTCATTCACCCTCCCCCATCAGAGCAACGGTGTTCGCGGATGAAAACGTAGAAACGTTCGGAGAACAGAAGAACCGCCCCCGAAAAGGGTTTTTTTTTTTTTGGGACTTACTTGGCTTTAATTATACATTCGCGTGAGAACACAAGCACTCCAAGGCCGTTCTCGTCCGTTTTGTTTTTTTTTTCTGTTCTTTATTTTTGTTCTCTCCTCTTATGCCACGTTCTACACGAATGTCTCCTCGATTAGCTGGCTCTCCACGAGACGACTCCGCGGTACATGGAATCCCGGTCCCTGTCTTCCATGAGTACCGATGACGCGGTCGTTTATATAGCGAGGAGTCAGCGGGATCAATAGAAACGCGCATGGATCTGATGGGTCAGCAGCAACAAGTAAAGGCGTGGAGTGCGCCCAAAGATTGTCGCCCATTTCACACGCACACAGAGATGCACACGTAGGATGTAGGAACGACAACATCCATTTGTACCACGCGTCGATGCTGTTCCGCCGTTGATCGTTTCGCAACAATGGACGAGATATTTCGCGGCATAATATTGGTCGGACAACGACGAACAAACTCGGCTTCCGGTAGGGGAAAAAGTGAGGTAGGCGAAGGGACTGTTGCCCAGAGATTAGCAAATTCATTATTTAAATAAGGAATTTCGAATGATGAATAAAAGATGAAAAGGCACTTCGTCATTTTCAATCGTATACACGTGGAAATTCCAATATTTATTACAGAATAATACTTCTTCTTGAATGAATCATCATTTGGCAAGCAATTGTTTAATCTGTTGCTTTTCACTATGTATTATTCGAATGAAAATGTGCCCAACTCTGCTCCTACCATTTAGTTTTCGGAGTTACTGAAATTTATGGCAAATTAATATTCGGTTTAACATTTATTTCGGTAACTAAAATAAATTTAGTAAATGGTAGGAGACTTTTCTTCTACGCCACTTATTCCTCTGACGGAAGCCTTAGACGTCTTTAAGGCGTCATGTGCTATCTGGGATATTGTCAGAAACTCAATGATCCTTCAGATTCATGGTGAGATGGGTGATGGTTTCTTTAATTGTCCTATCGAGCGGTAGCGTTTGGAAGATGATACCAGGGGTGGTATTGATGAGTTTTGTATCGCTTCAGCCTCGAGATATTCACACGCTGTATAGATTCCTCTTCCATTTTGTGCATGAGCTAAGAACAGCGTGTACTCTTGGATATTCTTGGGCAAGTATTCACTTGAAAATCCGCGTAGCCGTGATTGTTGTCGCTTGGACGACTGTTCTGGAAATAATAATCGGAGAGTCGTGAATTAATAAAAAGAAAATCTCTGGTTCACCGAAACAGGTGGCTCGGGCTCGGCAAAGTTTCCCCGAGCAAACATTTTCCGGGACCCGTGTTCCGGTTTCTATGGTTTCGTCGGCTTTTACGGTTATCGAACGACCGACGTCGCTTCCGTTCGAAGGAATGCGAACGGACCAAACCGTATGCACGTGACCGATACGGGGCTGATCGAGAAAAAAGCATATCGTGATCGTTGGATCACCATCCTTCCGCCTTCTGTCGTAATACTGCTCGACTGGGTAATTACTAGACTGCGGATTTTATGCATTTACAGCGTCTAGGATTGTTTAAATCGCAGTATACAAAAATATTTAGTCAAATTTAATGAGATACTTGGTTTATGTGTATTCTAATAGAATCCTTAATAAGATAAAGAAATTTTTCTTTGATAGTTGCTTTTGAAAAAATGGACAATAAAAATCTATATTTGCATAAACATCCGCAGTCTAGTTATTACTAATACTGCGGATTTGATGCATTTATAGCCCAAAAGGTTCTTTGAAATACAATAAAAGAGAAAACTTTCATCGGATCCAATGAGTTTTCTATTTTATTGATAATTGCATTAGAAAATGAATGATAGAAAACAAAAAAATACCGGTATTTATTTCGGTTTTCGGTAATATATCGGTTTCGGTATAGCTTTGATGGCGTAATATCGGTATCATACCGGTTTAAGTGCCTGGTGGGAAGGGCCGCGAGTTTCGCAAATGTTTTGTTCGAAAGACGATGGAACTCATTCGATAGAACTGGACGATACGACTTATCCAGCTGGTTGGTATCGCGATAAGTTTTATCGGAGATAACAGGAAACAAAGGGGAATCATCGGGGTTCGATAATCAGTATCCGTAGACGCTTCCGAGGATGATAACTAGAAGACGCGACCCCTGGAAACATCGCCATTTCCTGAAAAAAAGAACGGATTCCGTTGAGTTCTTCCTCGGTTCGTCAAGAGGGAATAGAGGAAAGGCCCGAGGCGAAGGTTATCTCTCCACCTCGTGCGCAAAGCTGACCTGTTTCACCATAACAATATTCACACTTCGCGGTTGATCGATCCGTACATTCCCTCGCCACTTGACGAGTTCATTAGAATTAATTAATTCAGCAAGGTTCACCGCCGCGTTAAAAGCTGCGCCGTAAAATCGACACATCGAGGGAAGTTATGGTGCAAACAATTTACACGGGCTACCGTGCAAGCCATTATGGTCCCGAGAGATATGGATGTCAGCGGCCTTAATCGTGTAATGTCCGGTAATTAACCATTTTTTTTTTTTTTTTCATTAGTTGCACTTTTCTCGCACTGTTGCCTGAAAGCGATCCATCGATTTCTTACAGTTGCTTTTCCACAGTTTTTTTTTAACGTTTAACGCTCGCCCAGCAATCGACGAAATAAATATGGCTTAGCGCCGTTAACGATATTCGATAATTATCGCGGATTCTTTCGTTTTTATTGAAAGAACAGAAATAACGTTTCGGTAGGTACTTAACGGCGGCTGGGCGAGCGTTAATGAAATTTCAATCTCATTCCGTAACCCGATAAAATATTCGGTTGTAAAAAACATTTTCTTGTTAATTGAACAGAGAACAACGTCGTGATTGGTCCAACGTTAGAAATGCGTGAGACCGTATCAGCGTATTCGCCTCCTGTTTATTCGGGTCCGAACGTCATTACGGCACAGCCACAAGGTAAACAAACGCGGCACCGTCCATCACGAACTAATTCTTACAGGAATCTACAAAAAAAAAAAATGCATATAAGCTGGGTTTAAAACGGTTTGCCCTTTAGACGTAATCGTGTGCAGTTTAAATCACGATTTTGCGGCAACTCGCGAAAAAGGCTTCCGATGACCAGAGTTTCTTTTATACTAGGAGAAATCCAACAATCAAGGAGGCCGATTCCCGTGAACACATTGGATTGGACATCAACGCCGAGATCCCAGCTCAGCACGCTCTCGGGAACTCATTTCTTGGGCAATGTGGAACAGTTGGAGATACAGCAGATCGTCGACTTGAGTACACGTTCGTATTCTTCTTTAGTGAATCTACCTCACAGATAGCACACGACGCCTAATGACGCCTTGAAGACGGCTTAAAGGCGCCTTAGACCTAAATGAGCCATGAAATGGACGTCTTTGAGGCGTCGTGTGCTATCTAGGCGTGCAGCTGAACCTTAGAGACTGTAGTTTAGTTCCTAGCCTCTAGGCGGTGAACAATTTCTTATTCCTCTACAACTATAAAAGAAAAAGGAAACAATATTGGATCACTCTTTCATCCATTTTACGACTATTTTAAGTCTTAGACGCCTTTAAGCCGTCTGTGTGCTATCTGGAAAATTATATCTTCTCCATCCTTAATTTTTTGCGTTCAGTCTGTCTCCAAGCATCTCTTCCCAGCGAAGAACAATTGTTTCTGATCCTTTTATTACTCCTCAGTGCTGGGTAGAACGGAGAGGGGTTTTCAGTACAGGGTGAAAGTCCCGAAAGCGGAGTCATTGTTTCTGGCTATAGAGACGAAGCATGAAAATCGATCGACCATATTCAATTGGTCGAAACTGATACGCGGGGATTTCTCGTTGAACATATTGGATCAGTGCGGCGAGCCTGCATTCATTATGAAAATAAACTCACGATGGAGTTACACGTTGAATAAACTACGCGTAAGTTCCGAGCCGCCATCTTGTTCGCTTTACTTCGTTTATCGCAGCGTTCTTTGAAATCTTTCACTCCACAGAAAATCACGGTAGGAAGCACGAACCTTATCGGAACGGTGGAACAAAATTTCAGTATAATCGGGCCCAGTTTCACAGTCTACGACCCAGCGCGAAACGAACTTTGCAATATCTTTGGGCCGAACGTGTGCGGCTGTTGTATGTACAAAGAAGCGCAATTCCAGGTACACTGATTAATTATACTGAAATTTTTCTGAAAAAAAATAAAAAAAGTGAGAACCGTGGAATTATTGTTGTTCGTGCAAACCTTCGTCTGCAAACAATATTATTTTCAAAACCTGTGTGTCGCGCTTTGCGCATTTCGAACCGAAACGAAACTATAGCTCCGCGCCATCTTCTTATATCGTAATATCGGAACATTCCGACAGAGTATACACATAGTTTAGAAACGAAATTTTCAATTATTTCAGGTGATTTCAGTCGACGGTACTCACCAAATCGCATCTTTGATGCACCAATGGAACAATAGTTTGCATGACTATACATTGCTAATCACCTTTCCAGCAGACACAGATGTAAAACTGAAAAGCTTGCTCCTCGCAGCTGCGTTTCTGGTGGTAAATATTCTCAAAACGTCCATAGCCTTCGAAGAATATGTATATCTCTTCTTAATTCTGTCTTAGCGTAATTCAAAACTCATGGCAATTTTTTGCCCAACTATATATGTGTCATCGAATAAACGAATATAGGTCGAATTATTTTACGTGGCATTTCAGGAATACATGTACTTCGAGAAAATAAGGAGGACGTCGCCGCGGACGTGAACGAAGGAACGAATGATACACAAACATATCGTTCGAAACAGATGTAATTTTCTTTGTATGTAAACAGTCTGACGAAGAATACACCTAATTCTCTATTACAATGACTCATCGACGTTAAGAATTTTGTCCTAACTCGGATCACGTTGGATCACGTCCGTTTCCCAGTTACTGATTTCTTCTCCACAATCTAGGGATAAGCTTGTGTTTACGACTACAGCTCCTCGTTCGTACACGCCATACACTACCTTATACTTCTGAATTGGTCATCAAAGTGGGTAGTATGCATATTCAAACTTGCTACATATGCTAACAAACAATTTGCATTTTTCTAACACATATCGTACGAAGTGGATATGGATATCGCTGATTATTACTATTTCTTGGACAATCCTTTATTAAGATTCTTACTAATACTTGAGATTTTAGAAGAAGAAGAGAATGAAGAATACCATACATCAAATTTCTGAACGTGCATTTCTTCAGAAGTAAAACTTGCTGTTACGTTAATTAGTGTTTCATTATCCATTTTATATAATTTTAAATAGAAAGATCGTTCGAAAAGTCTGGGTAAATCGTTGCCTCAATCACAACAGATAGGGCGAAAGATCAAACTTACTTTTTACGCGTACAGAACAACCGCTTCCATTGTTCTCAGAAGCGTGTAATTCGTTTGTCCCAATACGTCGGAGCTACTCGCTCAAATACGCGTCCAGTATATATAGGTAACCGTAGCCTTAAATTAGCAGTAAAAGTCGACTTTATATATATATATATGTCAAAACGTCCCAGTGTTCTTTCTTATACTCTTATCTTGTTCCCAGAGTATACTTGTGTATGTAAATACTTTGTATCTTATCTATTATACATAAGCATCTATACAGTGTTACGTATGAATTGAGTTTCCAGTAGTATATACTTCATTTTGACGAGTCATTTGTAATTAACTTAATTCAAAGTTAGCATTGTTAATTCGATACATTAAAAATATTATTTCTTTTTTTTTTCAGACTACAGTTCTTTTTGTGAGATAAAAAATGGATCTGTTAGCTCTTGTTGGCTTAGTAGTCATTATTTATTATTTGGTTTACATGATATATCCATGGTTCTTGGATTGCGATTTAAAACTTGCTTTTTACGAAAAGTTTGGGAAACCCATAAGTGAATATTAAAAATATTATATTTATGCCACATGTTTAGAAAATTCGTTTTCTATGTATTGTTCATTTCTTTTTATTTCTACAGCTTCCTTGAGGGGGAAGACAATATGGATAACAGGAGCATCGAGTGGAATTGGGGAACATCTTGCATACGTCTTAGCAACTGCTGGTTGTAAATTAGTTTTATCCGCACGGAGAAAAGAAGAACTAGAGAAAGTAAAAGCCAATTGCCTTCAAAGTAAATGTCCATTCCAAACAGATTTTTCGATTGTTGTTTGTACATGTTTATAAAAATTTCATATAAACTTATGAACTTATTCTCAGGAAACTCAAGTTTAACCTATACAGATATTGAAGTACTTGTTTTGGATATCTGTGACATAGACAGTCATGAAACAGCATTTAAACACGTTATTAGTAAATTTGGGAAAGTATGTACACTCTGAATTTTTATGCTAGTACTAATGTATGACTAATTTTAAAATTATTTTCAATTCTTGTTCTAGTTAGACATACTGGTAAATAATGCTGGTCGGTCTCAAAGAGCACTATGGGAACAAATTGATCTGGCTGTTGACAAGCAGATGTTTGATTTAAACGTTTTCTCACAAGTTGCTCTCAGCCGATTGGTGGGAAAATACTTCTTCCAAGTAGGTGAAGGTCACTTTGTGGTTACTTCGAGTGCTGCAGGAGTCGGAGCAACAGCATTTTCTGCTACCTATTGTGCAACTAAATACGCTTTACACGTTAGTAAAAGCAGTATTGAAAATTACTAATCATATGTATTTGTTAATATTGTGTACATATTTCTTTTTGTGATACATAGGGATATTTTCATACTTTCTGGATAGAAAAGATAAGTCAAAATGTACCAGTTACAGTGGTATGTCCAGGACCAATTCAAACAAATTTCTTAGCAGAAGCTTATACAGAAAAGCCAGGGGAAGTGAGTTCAATCATTCAAATAAAGCATGTACTAGCTTTTTAGTATAACTACTTTTACAGAAATATGGCGAAAACACAAACAGTAATTCGGAGAATAAAGTCAGTGCAGAACGTTGTGCAACACTGATGGGAGTTGCGATCGCGAATAAACTTCTTGAAGTGTGGATCTCTAAACCACTTATACTTCAGTTACTATACCTCAGAGTTTATTATCCAAATATAGCAATCTGGTATATGATTTGACTAACGACTCATCAGATTTTCTACACCATCATCCATATAACAACATTATTTATCTTTCCAGGGTATTGAGAATATTAGGACCAAGATTTTTGCAACGTTTACGGGACGATAAAACAACGCTCAAACAAGAACAATGAATATGATGTTTAATATATATTTTACACTTATCTAATAAAAAAGGTCTCAAATGATGTGGGAAAGTAAATTTAACAGAAGTCTCGCTGAATTTTTTTTAATTTAAAAATTCTATATAGTCTATAATATTATATCGAAAATCACTGGTTATCTACTGATTCTAATAGTTTTTTGCATATCTTTCCCCTCCTTATTGCATCTTTAAATAGACGACAATACAGTTCTATAGCACAAGGTGAATCATCATTTCCAGGGACAGGATATGTTATAAGATTAGGATTACAGTTTGTATCTACAATGCCAATGGTAGGAATACACATCTTTGCTGCATGTGCCACAGCGATATGCTGGTGAGTAACTGACTCCTTAGTTGTGAGGAATATACATAAATCTGGTAATCTAGTAACAGCTCCGAATTCAAACTCTGCATTTGAAAATGTGCCAAGTTTCCAGCTCCTAGTGTGAGCAAACTCCTTGCACTCTTTGGCAGTTTTTTCTACTATATAAGAAATCTGAGGGTTCTTAGCAATAAACAAGATAATTCCATCTCTAAATGCAATGTGAGCTGTAAAATTTAATGCCTGCCGCAAAAGCTCAGCTGTTTGATCCAAGTCAATTATTAAATGACCTAATCTGGATCCGAATATGAAAGATCGCATATTATCATTTAAAGATCCTTCTTTGTGACCATAATGTACTCTTGCGTTGAACAAATCTTCCACTGTAAATAAATTGTGAACTTTAAAGAAGTCTGGATGTGTCAAAGGTTTTATATGTATCTTCTCAGCTTCTGGAACATCTAAAATATTAAGATTAAGGTTCATACCAATGTATAATGAAGCTGAAGATTTTAATTAGAATACTCTTTTTATTATTACCAGTTTCTAATTCAGGGTGTGCATCCATTGGTACTTCAATCCGTGGGACATTTGTAGCAAATGGACGTAGAATATGTTGGTCCCCACATACTGTAACAAAATATGAAAATAAAGCGATTAATATTTCAAAACATTCAAATTTTTTAGCTAGACAATTAGTCTCACTTACGTCGGGATAAAACTCTTCTCGTGGCTATACTAGTCATTTTAACGATTTCTATAAACTAGAGAATATTAACTGGTTTTGAATAAATTATTAAATATCGGTATGTATACTTGAATTCCACCAGAAACAGTCGCAAGTTTACCAAAATCATCAACTTCAGAATTGGTTAGGAAAATCTAACATTGAGAAACCGATAAGATACTTGTTTCAAATCATAGATTTTAAATGTACCAAGGAAGAAATTCATATAGATGAAATACTGCACATTTCATTAAATATACCGAAACTGACTTCTATCAATTACTTCCACGTCAATATCTCATCGTCTCAACGTAACAAATCAACATAATTGTAAATAAATAGTTAATTTTTTATATGTAAATAGAAGATAATTAAAATGACCCGTGGTGTCATCTATGTCTATCATGTCCAAATTACTACAAACTTAGTGTCACATTCTTATCAGAGAGCGACACTACTGCGTGTTTCTTTTAGCAGAAATTCAATTGGTAACTTTTAATAACTTTATATACTATACAGAGAGTAGTTTTACAGGTGCAGATTTTGACAGTTCGACAATTTCCGGGGAACTGTTATAAACGTGAGCAAAATCAGAATAAGTGAATACTTTTTAAATTACTCAAATTATTGTATTTTTTCATTGTATACCATTGAATACCACATCATAAGAAAGAACTCTCCTTTCGGCTGATAATTCCTGGATTGTCACAGCGGTGTGAATATCTATTTTGATTGTCGGTTATGTTTTCCACATGAATGTCTGCCCAAAGGCGGTACAATTATTCTCCATCAGAAGTACGTGGATAACGAGGCTATGTTCCGTGAACAAATCCATTTTCTGTGAGTTTGACAGATGATCAACTGTCAGTTTTTAGAAATCTGGAGGAAATAAGAATTCAAAGAATACCTCACGATGGAAGCTGTACCGCGATTGCCGATGATATCGTTTCAATTAAAAGTCAGTCCGGAACCCACTACGTTTGGACCAAAGTTAAAACAGGTACGAAGTTGTATATATCGATAATTGTTACATTGCATTCTCATTTTTTCCTATCTGCTGCATTAGCATGGTCATTTAGTGTTTGTCACACGTTACAGCTACACCAGTGTATATATTAACATGTTTTATCCAGGAAATCGCGAAAAAAAAGGTAAACCCGTTTCTTGTTTGTTCTTTTCAGTATATTCGTGATTTTTATAACGAAGATCCAGAGTCGTATTCGAATGAATTACATCAATTAGAAAGTTTGCGAGCAATGGCTATACGTCCACCGATTGACATGGCTGGCTGTTTGTTATTGAAGAAATATTACTGTCAATTGCATTTCCTCCAGAGCAGATTTCCTATGGGAAAAGATGGTGCAGCAGCAGTCACATTTACATGGTAAAGAATGTACTTTCACATTTGAGTTCCCAAGTTTCAGCTATTCAAAGAAGTCGAGGAATAAAGGGCTCAATCTCTGAAATGCCTAGTGGACATGCCATCGACACAAGCTAATACAAAGAATCTTTTATAAGCTACACGAATATTAACACATTTGAGACCGACATATTATTACTAAACCATCTCCAGAAATCTGCAATGTTTATGTACTGTCTGTACATGACACACATGCTGAGTCATTGGCTAAATAAATGTGATAGTTCACGAGTCGTATGCTAGATCATCGGTCTTGAAAGTGTTACGCGGATAGCTTTAATACAGAGTTGAGAAGTATGGAAAACATTGCGATCCCATACAGATCCTTGACTATATAAAACTTGTGAACTCGAATATAGTAAAAAGAATATCTGAGGAATAAGTGGTTTAAATTTGTCTGTATTTATATAGGCGAGATACATATGCAAATATGGTCTGTTCATTAGCAAATATTCGCTTTGAAATAATTTCGATATTATATAATATTGGCTCAATCCATACTCAATTGGGAGCACGTACAGAGAGGATTTCGGCGGATGGCATGAGAATGGCCTGTGCTCATTTTCAGTGTGCGGCATGGGCATTTGAACATTTAAAGAACAGTTACCCGCAACCGTCGGGTGTCGACTTGGCTCCAGAGTTGATGACATTTATGCATCAGCTTTGTTTGGCGCAGGCACAGGAATGCATACTAGAGAAGAGTATGCTGGACAATCGTAAACCAACGATCGTAGGTATGTATTGAACAGTACAAAATCGCACAGATGTTACAATACTTTGTGGCTTTAATTGTCTGCTCTTGTGTATCATTCTACAAGATATATGTATCATGCAGCAAAAGTCGCAAGACAAATAGTGGATTATTTTACTCTGGCGTTAACCACGCTTGAACAAGGTGGAAGCGAGGATGGAACTATATCGGACACAGTTGGCACAAAAATATACAAGGTAAGGTTTCGTAATATTCTATGCTCTTGAATAATAAAACGGGGAAAGCTTCAAAATTTATCGTTTCAGAACTGGAAACGATATGTAAGATTCAAAAAGGCCTACCATCTAGCGGTAACGCATTTGTATCAAGGCTTAGCTGCAGAGGAACAAAGGAAAATGGGAGAGAGAGTAGCATTTTATAACGCCGCATTAATTTCGCTGAACGACGCGCAATCAATTTATGCTAACGCGAAGGCCGATGAAAAAACGATTATAGATGAAGCACTTACGTTTACGAATGATGTAATTGAAGGGAAACGAAAAGCGGCCAAAAATGAAAATGAGTTTATATACCACGAGGAAGTACCTGAAAAGGAAACTCTACCCACGGTGAAGGGGGCCTCTTTAGTTAAAGGAATATCATTTAGCATAAATGATCCTGAAGTTTCTGGTCCTGATATCTTTGCCAGGTACACTCTATGCTAACTCGAAGTAATTTGTAAGTAATAACTATAATTATATTTACTTATGTTTGGACACATGGTACAGACTAGTGCCAATGAAAGTTCACGAAGCAAGTTCTTTATATTCGGAAGAGAAAGCGAAAATATTACGATCCGTCGGTGGAAAGATAGAAGAGAAAGACCAGCATCTGAACACTTATTTGGCATCTTTAAAACTGGAGCATATGAGTTTATGGGATCCGGACGTTCAAACGACAGAATGGGAACGTCTGCCGCTTCCCGATGAACTGGTTGAAAGATGTGCAGCACTGAATGCAAAGCAACATGTCATTCAAGATCTAGTGGACATGATGGGAAAATTATCCGACATTAGTCAAGATGTCGAGAAAATATTAAAAGAAATTAAGAAACTGCTTCTCGACGAAGAATTAAAGTAAGGATTTGTTTGTTTACGAAATGATTGAACTTTATTTTAGTATGAACAATCGATCTATTAACATCTTCCTTCGTTGACAGAGAGAAACAATATCAAGATGCGGTAGGAAAAAGACCACCATCGATAGTGGCCACTGATTTAACGAGAGAAGCTAAAAAATACGAAGAAGCTCACAATAAAGCATCGGAGAGTAATCATGCTCTGCACAAAGCAATAACAACAATGCACGTGAAAAATTTAAAAATACTTGCACAACCACTCGCCGATCTTATGGCTCACATACCATCGCCGAGTGCATACCTTTCAGGTACATAATATTGGCTTCGTATAAATTTATTCTATAAGTTGATTTATACGCTTTTCATTATATCCTACTTTCCGTAGAACAAAACAGCGAAAGATCGCACAGTGCGATTGAACTGGAACGAATGCACACGAAGGAATTGAAACGTATTCTGAATAAAGTGGATGAAATGCGTAGACAGAGAAACGAATTACACACAAAATTACGTGATTCTATAGCACAAGATGATCTGACACGCTTGTTAGTTACCGCTACGTCCGATTCTGGACCTTTGGACCGCCTGTTCGCTGATCAACTTAGCAAGCATCAAAATCTAGTCAGTACTACTTGTTGTTTCTACGTACAGTTTTCATTGGAACGTACCGTTATTGAATATTAATATTGCAGGTGTCGTTGATAGAGCAAAATCTTGCCGCGCAGGATAAAATCTTGGCAGCTTTGACAGATGCATACGCTCAAACGGCTAACGTGCGAAAAGGGGTCGAAGAAATATTGAAACGTCGAGAACATACGATCGCTTCTTTGATCGCGTCTTACGATGCTTACGAGGACTTGGTGGGCAAGTCTAGCAAAGGTCTGGAGTTTTATAGAAAATTAGAAATAAACGTCTCGAAATTACTTCAGAGAGTGAAAAGCACATGCAAAGTACAAGAGGAGGAACGCGAGCAGATCCTTGCCCAGGATAATAAGAATACTCAAGAAAAAGTCGACGCGACAGCAACTGCGGCTTATGATCAGAGCCGTATTCGATCTGGTAGTGGTCTCAAATTGAAAGATTATTTAAATAATAGGCCAGAGACTGTTTCGAGTCAATATTACAATATGTATAAAGGACAAAATAGATCATATCAAATGGATGGGACAGCGAAAGCATATACAAATGATGCAGTAGATAAAAGTGTTATTCATTCCAGTGGAATCTCGATACCAGATACAGTATCATCTGCAAAGTCTATGCAACAGTATTACCCTGCATCTTACACAGATTACAAATCCAATTTGACGTATTCTTATGACACGACTTCATATAACGAAAATCCCACAGTAAACAATACTTTAGGTCAAAGCTACGTGCAAATAAATAATTCGGATGGTGTCGGTACTTATCAGCAAATGTCTGCAACAGGTGCGCCAACGAATATGACAAATACTACAGTACAGTATCCGATGAACTCTTTTGTGTCCAATGGACAGTTCCCTACAGCCTTGGATGGGCAACAGAATTATTCTACCAACACTCCACTGCAATATAACCTACCTTCTAACACGATACAGTACGAGACTTATCAACCTTCGGTAAATTATACCGGATATAATGTTACACCACAGTATCCCCCTGCACTTGAAAAGATCGATGGCGGAGTTAAACCAGAAGTTCGAAATGTACATTCTCAAATGTCAACGATACCACAGACATCTGTACCAACATCGAATACAGCCAGCAAACCGATGGATGCACATCCAACTCATTATACTACCACGGATCAACAAGGGCAACAGTACGTAGCTGAGCCTCAACAAAATCTTGTTCCTCAAGAATCCGTTCAGGCTATCAGGAGTCCACATGCATTATCAACAGACAATTCTCAGATGCAGAATTATACTCTCCCTCAAATCAATCCGAATGAAGTTCCACATTCTCAAGATTATAGCAGTACAATGTACTACAACCAATCGGATCTCCATACTCAACCAATCGGGCCAATTCAAAATATATGCGGAACTGCCAATATTGCTATTTCCACGCCTTACATACCAACACAGTACATGAATACAAACATTCCTCAGCCTGTTAATTCTACAACTTCTCTAACCAACGCAGGAAATGAGATGAGTACTTCGAATTTACAGAATACTGCTATCATGCAATATTCTCAGCAAAACTGTCCAGAGCAGAGTGAACAAATTTATACGGGTACAACATATCCGTATGGAACACAAGTGCCCATTAATGATACCGCTTTGAGTTATCCTAGTACTTATCATAGTATACAGCAGAATACTGGTGCTTCATACGCGCAAACCATGTTGCCTACAGACACCTGTAATACGTATTCATTCACAAACTGTCCCAGTAATACAGAAATAATTCAAAGTCATGCGAAGTCATTGACCAACCAGAATTATTCGCAAATGTATCAATATCCACAGCAGTCACATTATCCTGGTTACGCTGATTATTCGCATACCTATAATCAAGGATACAATTATATACAAGGAAATCAAATGACAAATACAGTGACGGAACCTTATAAACACCAGATGGGATATACATATAACTCCACTAATCAGTGTCAGGAATACAATTCAGTCAATGTTCAAGCTTCGCAACCTGTTCAGTTATCGCAGCAATCTTCCGAGACAACGTTAGAAGTTACCGGTGACAATAACAGCAATTCTCGGCAACAAGAAAGTAACGCAAGATACACAAATGCCAGCAATAATTCGATGGTGAGCCAAACTCCTTCGTCTCAGTATTCGGGACAGCCGTATCAACCACAAAGTTCATCCGATATTTATTACACTACACAATACGGTCTTCAGTTGCAAAATCAAGGTAAGCGTCGAAAAAACGAGTTGGAACCACGAAACAATGTTAACGTTCAAACTTCTCTTGTAGCGACTACTACCAAAGCCGAAACCCATAGTAATTATAATCAGACCTACATGCAAGCTGCGAACAATGGAACGAATACAACGACTAGTACGAATCCTACAAAATCCACAACAAAATCAGGAGACAAATCGAACGTGGACTTGCTTTCTGACCTCGACATTACCATAGACCATACACCTTTAGTACCAGAAGTACGTCCTCTAAATAAAACTCAAATAGATGAGAAATCTGTGGAAAATATCGCTACCAACGAAGAGAAAACGGAAACAGAAGATGAGAATGGGCAAACGAATGCTCATCCTACTAATACCAATGAGGATAGAACGGAGAATGAAAATTTACAAATTGTATGGGATACGTGGTACAATGACGTGCAACCGAAAAAAGATCCCTTAGGAGATCCGGCTGCTTTACAAAAGTTTGCTAGCGAAGTGGAAAAATACGAAAAGTTTATAGATAGCCTGCTTGTCAAGACATTAAGTGGAGCAACGAATCTTGATATAAAATGGAAAGAAGTGCAAGAGTTCGAAGTAAGATTCTCCGCATTGTTTCTCCAACATGGAATACTATTTAGTTAAAGACGCTGTTCAATCATTTGCTTTAATTTCAGGAGAGAGAAAGTGGAAAACAATCGTGTACAGTAGCGCTGGCTCATTCCTCGGAGAACAGAGTAATGGAGTGCATTCCGTATGACACAACCAGAGTGCAAATATTATCAACAGACGTACCAAATTACATTAATGCATCCCACATAATGGAAATCACGCAGTGGATACCAATGTCATTCATCGTTACTCAAGCACCATTACCAGATAAATCAGAAATATTTTGGACGATGATATGGGAACAAGAATGTGAGATAATCGCGTGTTTAGCATCAGATGCACAGGTAACCGAACATCTTATACATACGTAGAAACGTTTCAAATACTAAACTGTTTATATTAAACATCTCTCTTATTTCTTTTCTTAGTTGAATAGCGAAATATATTGCCCTATAAACGAGGAGGACACATGTAACATTGGTAGCTTTACAATATCGTTGAAAAAACGATTAAATCACGTATCCTACATTCAGAGGATTATATCTGTACATAATATTAAGAAAAAATCAGAAAAGACTGTCGTGCATATGCAGTTCCTTACATGGCCTTCTAAGTGAGTGTTTGAAATAAGTAGTATTAATAATAGGATTTTTACTTACAAATTTTGTGTTTGTATCACAAGACTCTTATATTTTCCTTTTGTTTTTAGTGGTTTTCCTAGTAGTCCTGGTGCGTTACTTACATTTTCAACGGATGTGATGACCGAACAAGCACTGAGACGTTGTTCAAAGCCAATAGTTGTGCATTGTCTGGATGGTGGAGCATTAAGCAGCCTGTTCCTGGTAGCAGCAGCAACAGTGTGTCATATACGCGCTGGATGTGGAATAGTCGACGTGCCCCTTGTATTCAAAGGCCTCCTCAAATGTCGCAAACAGGTTGTAAATAAGGAGTCTTTGTTATTCGCGTACCAACTAGTGCTATACCACGCTCAAGATATTTTAATGAAACGTAAGTGTGCGGTATTTTAATGCGAAACGTCGCGTGACCATTTACTAAAAATAACTTGTATCCTCGTAATATCAGGTGGTATTTTATCATCTACTCGCTCAACTTTTGAAAATTTCGAGGGATTCAAAGGGAACAAAGATAAAACCTCCAGAAAAATGCATCCCTCCGACGATTTTCTTCAGAGTCTCGGAATTAACGCTCAACGTTCCGATATCGAACAAGGTAATTTGTATTGTGTAATATACATTATGAAAACAATATTATAATACTGATAGCGATTACAGGTCGACAGAAATCTTCATCAAATAATGGCTCAGGACACTCGAGTTCAACGTCGATCCAAGAAAAAGGTAAGGAAGCAACAATGGATCCTTTAAATCAACTAGATCCCTTGTGGTCTATTAGAAGATAATAAAACATGATTGGAAGTAAAAGTTTATTATACATCGATTAATAAATCTATTATTTAAAATAAATATTTCCATTCCTATATCTCTTAAATTAACTACATTAGTATGAATAAGGGTATCGAGGCAACTGTATAAACAACTTGATTCGTAAATTAGTATAAATTGATATTTCTGGAAAAAAAAAACATTTATTGTTCAATTGTTTCTTAATTCTTAAGAATTAAGTGTTTTACAATCTGTTAAATGTATCGAATAAAATGTATGTATAAAAACGAATGCATTTATCTTCACGTTCATCAGGAATCACACATGTCCATACACATTCAGAAAATGAAGGCTGATATTAATTACGCTTCTGAGCAATGCATGGTAGAATCATGCATTTGTAAAACGTATGGATGGTGAGATGGTACATATGATAGTTAATATATTTATGTATATATGTTAAATGCATGCACCACCAATATTCCGAAGACAATTGGTATATTTTCTTTTATGCCTTATAATGCTGTTCAATTGCACGGCAGGCATCGAGTTTACAGCATAGAGTTCTGGTTACAAAAATTAACTAATCCTCTTTAGTGCAAATTTGTTTCCTACCTAAAGTATTATTATCTTACAGTTCGATTCTTTATATCAGAAAGTCCGAACGTGAAAGAGAAGAAAGGTTAGTGTTTATACATTTTATAACTGAGAAAAATACTCGTGTATACATATTCGCATAGGAAGCAACTATGATGATGGGTACAATTAATTTCGTATAAAACGTGCGCTTCTCTGAGAACTGAGCTTGGAATGCCTTTCCAACACAATTACAACATAAACCGATACTTACGTTCGCTAAATTAATATTTCTGACGAGGTCTGAATATGTCTTTTGTCAAGATTTTCAATCATATTGACGTTCATGGAAATATGTAACTCTGTATTTAGTGCCACGTTCGTATCTCATAAAGAATTATAAAACTTATAAGCGAGCAAGATTATGACACAGTTTACAAAGTAATGTCTACCTCCCGCATACTAGTCCATAAGCTTTAATTTCCTCGGTTCCTCAAGTCTTTCACTTTGTAAATTCGCACAAGCCAATGTTCCGTCGTGTAAGCTTCCTCTAACATATCCAGCTCAAAATCTTTGTTACCAATTTCCATATTTCGAACTCTATCGTATCCCGAGGGTTTGCCTATTTAACAATTTCAATTTTGGGCATTTAAATCATCCTAAGTTCGAAAATCATGACGCTAATAATTGAATGTCATACCTCCTTCGGTATAAACTTGACCGAATCTGTAGTAACACATTTTGTACATAAGACAATTGAGCAAAATTGGAGAACCTTCTTTGTCAACTCTAAATTCCCCTGCGGAGTTGTAATAATCCCATTCCGTTATAGATTTGCCTTTTTCGGTGCTTCCACCAATGCGCACCATCCATAGGAACTTGTTTATATCTATGATTTAGACAAACGAGATTTAATATAACTTGAAACTGTTTTACAAGTGTGATGCATACAAAATTTATTTCTATCGCATATACCATCTGATGAATATCCCGTGAGTCCTCCGAAAATTACAAGAACGTAATTAACGTCTAGTTCTCTCATTATTTCATAAGCTTTCTCCTCAGAACTTGCCATCGCTTGACCGACCCGTGATATGTGAGTATTATTCCATGTATTATTGTCTACTAAAATTGTACGATTTGCCATTGCCGTGATTTGGTATCCGTAATCCCACCAAGACATTACCTTGGCATTCTATATTCAAAGAAATTATAATTTATATTTCCGTTTTAACGAACTTATTCAGCTATTTAAAATGTATTGAATTACTTCAGGTGTGTTCATACGAAGCCAATAATATGCTTCTCTGAAATCATCGAAAATCATTCGTCCACCGTCCGGAGAACGTGCTGACAATACAATACTAGGTGAACTGTAGGCTTCTGCTGTTACCCACGTGCAGTGAATGGTGTACGAAAAGAAGAGAATACACATTACTGTTATAAAAAGTGTTGCAATCTGAAAATCCATATTTATACACAGTAATTAACTATGTCTGCCGAAACATGATATTAATGTTTGTTATATAGTTACCTCGCTTCTGAGTATGTAATTGCTTTCGAACTTTTTAGACTTCTTATCGGTGATTTTTGTGGTATCCAACTGTTTCATGTAAGTAACAAGCAAAGAAGAGGCCCCAATTCCACCCAAAATACACATTACGGGTGCAAGAACTAACATCAAACGAACCATCACACCCTGCGTGTGTTAAAGAACATTCAAATACAACTGACATTGCTCGAAATGAAAATTTCATACAAGACTATACTCACGGCGAAGTATAAACTCGTGACTCCGTATAAAATAAGGAAAATGTTGGAATCGGTCAACTTCGAGAAACAGAAGTACAATCCGGACGGAAATAGAAATACCAAAATCTGGAGATCAAAGTAAAAAGAACTCCACGATGTTGGCTGATGTTCAGAAACAGAAGCAATTATTGGTATGTGATTCTTTGCGTAAGATGGATCCAGCAGAGAGTAAAAACGTCCTGTCCATGGAGATATTTTGCCTTAAAAGGATTAAAAAAAACTTTAAATATCAGTATCTATTACAACTGAAGAAACCTAAGGTGTTAACATTTATGTATATATATGTGTATACATACCTGTAATGGTTAAAATAATCCCCAAAACCATTGAAATGGTAACTATGAAGATGACAAGACCACGAAATAGTACTTCAAAGTCATCTTGTGACATTTTGCTACGCAAATAATCAACTAGTGCATGAACCTGACAAAGTCCAAAAACTCCTAATGCCTATCAAAGGGAATGAATATGATTTTTGCAAAGATGATTAATTACGGAAAGTTCATATAACTGTAATTTGCGCTTACAAGCATATGTTCGGAGCTTTGAACAGGCTGGAAACCAACAAACGATATTTGCATGGATAATATTGTTCCTAAACAGTACAGAATGCTGTAGGCAGTGTATATCCTGTGCGAAAATCTACCAGTCACCATTAAGGTCAACACATGCAGAGGAATTAGATTGATTAAGAATACATAGCCACCCCAAGAGGACACCATGTAAAAATATGCAAGAGCTGCGCAAGCCGCCCAACAAATTGCTCCTGTTTTAACTGCTTTTATCCACATGTAATATGTAAACAGCATACAAAAAATAGCTATGCCCTCGTTATCATAAGAACCTGCCACAGATCGTGATATATAACCAGGAACGATTGCTATCATAGCTGCAGCAAACAATCCTGATGCAGAATCCTAAAGAAATTTTAAATAATATAATGTATTTAATGTAATTATATCAATATTTGAATATTTCGTACAGATAATTTTTACCTTCAGCTCTTTAGTGAGCAAGTATGTTATAATTGTTGTTAAACTAGAGAATAATGGAGCAAGGAAGACACAAATAGTACGTATATCTAAGGTAATATTTAATAACCATGAAAGACGATATAGTGCTGCTGATGTTATCATTAAGCCTGGATATATTGTTCCTAGGGGATAATATTGTATTTACATTGATCTTTTTTCACTACATTAAAGAAACAGATTGTAAAAGTGGCTTACCCCCAATTATTCTACCGAGAGGATACCAAACACGATCATCGAACCAATTATGAAAACTATAAAATCCATTTTCGGCTAAATACTTTGTTGTGCGGTAGTTAAAATATGGATCAAATTCATGAATAACACTTTCAAATCTTAAGACAGAGAATAATCTTGTTGCAAATGCTAAAATCAAAGGTTACATGTAACTACATTATCATTTTTCTACCTTTTCAGAAGACTTACATAAAATTGCTGCAAGGGATAACACAGTTAATTTTAAAAGCGTTTCTTGCTTCTGTGCGGACATTCGCAGACCTCTTGTTTTCATTAGCGCAGCCATATTGATTGTGCTTGCAAATAGAGCTTCTTAATTAATCAGGCACCACCTTTTTAATTTACCTGTACAAAAAAATATACAAACTCCTATTCACATACTATTTACTCTATTACATCTGACACTCATAGTTTAATGTAAAAACTACAGTTATTTCGCATGCGGAAATTAAGTGAGTATTTACAAAAGCGTGAAAAGAATTCTCAATGTAGTTTTAAAACACTTTAACAACAACAGTGCGATGAAGTGCACATGGCATTTGTCATTCGATATCAGGTTATGATTCCTTGTAAAAAGTAAACAAGAGAAACAAAATACTGATTATTCGTCAGTAAGAAAATAAATAGACGGAACAATAGACATACTGTTAAACAATATGTAACAGTCGCATGCCCAGAAATATAAACAAAACGTGTAAATTTAAATACTGCCGTCTATCTGAAAAACTGACCACGTACACAAAATTACCGGCCGGCGATATATGTGTATTTTGATTCACGCATATTTACGTTTCGCATTGCACATTCGTGTAGTTTTCGGAATATTATGTAGACCGTGATGTCAACTTACGAACTTACAAATTTTACAACAATACAAGAAAAGTAACGAAATAATGGTATCATTTAAACTATCACTAACTCAGACGCATCGCGACTCCAAAGAAAAAAGCAAGGATTTAAGGCCATCGTTAGTTAGGCTACCTATTATTGAAACGAAATGACGATAAGCTAAAGAAAAGTATCTAACGAGTGTTCGTACAAAAACATTTGTTACAATGAAAAGGAACTGAGAAATACTTGTTTCGAGGACAATGAATATTTATTAGAATTACTAGAAATAAATTTCTATGATATAAATTTTCATATCGAGAATAAAATTGTTAAATATGTAAGATTATTTTGGATCATTTGCGCCCTCTGATATTATGTCTTGAACGTCTTGAAGTAGAATACCCATAACATAGAGTGCATTCGTTGCAGAACCACTCTACAATACCGACATAGCATGATTCAGGATAAATGAAGGGGTTTTCAAAGCTCCCAAAACATCTGACAGAAAAATACATTAAATGTTAGGTCTATTCTATATCTCGTCCATGGTCATCTACAAATTCGTCGTTCCCGCCAGAGGACCGGTATTTGTATTATGTTGCACGAGATTTCCTTCAGCCCGAAACATTTAAGTACGGCATTCTCTTCCATCAAATTTCTGTTTTCATAACGTTCCGCTTATCACAAGAAGATGTCCGAAGGTAATTCTTTGTTTATGCAAATACTTACATACAGAATACCGAATGAACAAGGTTTAACCTTCAATATGCAAAGTATCACGATACATTTAAATTGTACTTATTCTGTGTTCAACATACACTGTAATTTCTGGCGCATATGTTACAGACAAAACAACGACGGAGGATATGTGGACTCCGTACAAAGAATTGCACAGTCTAGTCGAACGATGCATTACATCCTCTCCAACAACCCACGATCTTCAATACCACGAATTTACGGAAGCACTACGAAATCATCGGCAGAATTTTCTTACACTTTTGAAAAATCCTGTAAGCAATTATACCCTGTCTGACGATTAATATTGTATTCAGTGATAATCATAAGCACCGGTGTTATGTGTTCTAAGACGCGTTTCATTTCAGCCCCCAAATGCAAATAGTCGAGAAGAAATTAAGAAAGGAGCAACTGAAGGCATTACGCTTCCTGGTCTGGGCTGTCAATTACTATCGAAAGAGCTAGTTGATGAAACCCTTATTATATCGGACATGTATAACCTTAATGAATTCATGGCCTTGGATCTCTTATGTACAGCTCAGTTACAAATGCCTCATCATCCTGGTTTACCTAGAGGTCTAACAGCAATTTTGTTATACTACGATGGTAAAAAAGCTCTTACCTCAACTTTAAGAATGCTTGTACAAGCTAGAATGGGTCATAGTTGGAAAATTGACGCACCCATTGCCCTTTTAAGACACATCACAGAATATACGAACAAAATGGAAGAAGATCATTTATTAGACAGAATTTTATCTTTGTTAGAGGAAATGAATCCTGTAAAAGTATTTATTTTTCATTTGATATATCTACCTATTCTTTTTGAAATTATAAACTTACATTGTCATTCGAACAGGAACAAAAATTGCTAGAAAAAAATCGGGCATTGGGAGGACCAAAGCATCGCTATATGGTCATGAAACTTTATAACGATTCCAGACAAGACTTGGCTGATATTTTATGTCTATGGTCTGCTCAATCTTCACTGCCAAATGAAGTTTTGTTCCGTTTACTATCATTTCTAAAGACAAAATCAATAGAGTCCGAAATCGGTGAAGGTGGACTGGATAAAGTTACTCTTGCTCTTATAATGAGCGTGCTGAATGCAATTAATTTTAGTTCTTTGCATAGTCGTGAGAACGGTGAAGGTACGACGAATAGTTTAATCGGCACGTTCGATGGAACTACAATTAACTATCGAATAAATCTGTTTCAGAACTGTTAAATTCCATGCCGTTGATTACGGACAGTAATGCACGCGAGGAATTTAGTCAGAAATTATTATCAACTAATATCAATTGGGAAAGCGCTCGATTGCGCGGATTTATACAATTCGCGTACGCAGTTGCTCTAACAACAATTAAAACTGTCGTTAACGCGCAACCGATGAACATTACGAACGAAGACGAACGGCTTCTCGAAGCAGCATTATCGAACAAATGTTTTCACTTTATGGCCGACATATTATTCAAGAACAAAAATATATACCACGAAGAATTTTATATTCGTTACTTTCACGGTCTTATTTCCGATTTCATATTACTAATGCCCCTAAAAGTGAAAGATTTACGAAGTCGCGCAGACGAATCCATGCGTTTGATACAAGCTTATCAGCAAGAAGGTATCGAGCCGCCTTTGAATTTAGATAATCACTTTGAATATTTAATGTTAACGGTGGCGGAGTTATATAAAGAGGATCCGTTGAAATTGGACCTAGTCATGGATTATTGGTGTCATCATTCTGACTCGACTCACGCATCTGCGCCTGTTTACATGAATCGTTTACCATCCAGACAGGTTGCACTGTTTAAATTTGTACGACTTGCCGGAGAAATATTGCCAGCAGGTCTGTTCGTACCATATCTTAAAATGATAGCATCACTTGCATCTTCACCGCAAGCGGCGAGACAAGCATTCAATTTTCTTAAACCAAATGGTAACCGTATATTTCTCTTATTATTCGTCTAATGTTTAAGCAATTTGAACGGTATCGTTAATAAGTACTCTTTGCAGGAACTTCAGGATCAACAACAATTTCCTGGGATCATTTCTTCAAATCTTTGAATCAGTACTATAGCAATCTTCGAAAAGAATTGCCTCCTACCCAGGACACCGTTTACCGTCAGCGAGGTCATCCGAAGGGTATCACTCCGGACGAAGTTAAAGGGTTGGAAACGGTACTTCTGGTAGTTCAAGTTATCGCAAAAAACGATGAAATGTCGAGAATAGCGATATGCGATCATCCAGGGTGGAAAGTATTACCATCGTTAATCGGTTTAGTTAGTTGCGGTATATCGATTCCGTTAAAAGCGGTATTGGTAAGAACTCTTGCCGCGCTAGCGAGGTCACCCGAAAGTTCATCCACCGTATGGCAGAGTTTAGAAGCTGCACAAATACTTTCAACGGTGCCAACCACAAGTAGCTATCAGCCAAGAGGTGTTCAGACCGAGTTAGAGGAGATCGAGTCGAAGAAAGACGAATATCCGTTAACTCGAGCGATGCTGGAACTTCTGGATGTCCTCACCGATTTCCCCATACCACGACTGTTGGGAATGGGGCATCGGAATCCCGGTTTCGATCCTTACTTACATTTTATCATCAATACCATCTTTCTCAAGTTTCATACACGATCGTATAAAAATTCAGCAGAGAAGTGGGAAGTCGCCGAAAGTTGCCTGAAGATTTTCTCGAAGCTCATTAAACAGTACGAACCAACCGTGGAAGATTTCACCGGATGCAAGGTGGAACTTCAAAGCGGCGAGACCACGTTGGTCAATTCAGCTCCAGGGTACCACATAATGACTCAGTTGCACTCTAAGTCGGAGCTTCTTCACGTTATATTGTACATTCTGGACAAAGGTTGCTCGAACTTTGATATGTACGAGCGTTTTCCCGGTAAGAAGGACCTTGAGAATGGCACTCTATATTGTCTGGAAATATTAGAGAGGGGATTGAAAACCCAGCACAACTATATGTCGCAGTTGGCGGCTGCGAAGTCGGTGCACAAACTTCTAACCGGACTGTCGAGGCTACTTTTAGAAGTGGATCCACAGTCGAAGAAGCAGGACTACATGGTAAACGTAGCTAAATACGTGTCCTACAACTCCTGGCTTCCGCAGCACGCGTTCCACGCTGTCGGTGTCATTCACGAAGTGACGAACGAGCCAGGGGCAGACTCTGAGCTGCTCTCTACGTTCACAGCCACTTCTGCCTTGGCTACGAGTATAAGACACGAATTCGTGGAATGTTTGGACGCAGACATCACTGTTGACGAGGACATCGAGTCGAGTGAAAAGCAATACACTGGCAGCTGTAAAGAACGAATTCTACTTCTGATGATGCACAGCATTACCCGGCCCGCTCCGAATCTTGCTCACTATTTACTAGGATTCGAAATAACCAAGGACATCCGTAAAACTACGCTGTTCCATCCAGGTGTTCTCTGGTTCCCGCGCACGTGCCTACATTCGATATTAGGAATTTTAGAACAGTCCCTCGAACGAGGTCGCGACAAGATTACAGAAGCTTGTTACTGCTTCCTTCATACGTTGGCTGCGAACAACAAGACGTCCGTTCCGGTCTTGAGATTCTTACGAACCAGTGTCAATCAGGACTTCGTGCAAAGACACCTGTCAAAGTTGCCATTCGAGGGCCAGAACAGAGCAACGGAACTCGGTTGCATGTCCTGGTTACTGAAGATCGCTGCGATCGAACTGCGAGTCGCTGGTGGAAGGCTGCAAAGCTCTCTGGTTCAACGGCTAGTAGGGAACTTCTGCCAAGAAAAAGGGCAGATAGTTCCCTCGCAAAAGCTTCTGATGGATCTGCTGCATTACATCGAGTTTCAGCTTCAACTGGAGCCAATGCTCTCCCTGGATTTCTTCGACCCGTCCCAGATCGAGATGGCTCTGGGACGTTGTAGCGTTCCAGTTACCCTGATAGGTGGTCCACGTCTTATAGACATTAGAAAATTACATTCCCTGATCACGGAGGAAGTAGCCGTGACGCAAAACAGCGCCACTGCGACTCAGCGGAACCTCATGCAACAGGAGGTGCAGAAGATTTTGACTCATGCTTTAAGAAGGAACCAAACGAAGCTGTTGTCTTATGCGACAGTGAAGTTTGTCGAAGGCTGGTGCCAGACGACGGAGATGCTTTTCTGCGTTGCGTCCAATCAGCAGCTCCAGACCTCGCAGAAGCAGAACTTGTTATTGAATTTATCTCACGATTTATTACAGAAAATGACATCTTGCGAGGCTCTGAGCGAGATCAAAACCCTGGTGTCTGGTACGGTGCTGATATTACTGGTGAATTTACGGAACAGTTTCATCACCCAGACGGACAGCGAATCGTTTCCATCTTCACCGTCGAACACAACGATGATGAAAATTATCCTGAGCCACATTTTACAATGGATATTGAACGCGGGCGCATCCTCGCAAAAAGTAGTCACGCATTTGTACGCGGCTCTGTTGAATTTCCTCTGCGTGGTCGGCTTGGAGAAGTCTGAAAGCACGAATATTATAGACACGATGTACGTCAGTCAGTTAGATAGCACGGTGAACAGAGTAATGCCCGTGCAAGAACGTTCGCATCGGTATGCAACGATACAAGTGATAAACAGCTTTGGAAATAAATTAATGGATATCCTCTGTCACAATTGCTCCGGTGGCCACGACGTCTGCAAAATGCTGGCATTGTCCTGCTTGGATAAGATCTTGGAATTGGATTACGACAACGCCTGGATACTTTATTTGACCAGCAGAGGATACTTGAAACACATGATAGACGGTCTTTTGGAATCTGATAATATGTTACGGTCCATGTTACAGCCAGAACCGCAAACGTTACGACCATTGTACTTGTACGAGGCGAAAATGGCAACATTCTGTAGAATGGCGTCCACGAGACTAGGTGCGGAAAGTCTTTTAGAAAATAAGATCTTGCCATGCGTATCGAGCATGGTTGTGTTCGATCATCATCCTGACGTTCATATTGGATTCGAAGGGGGCGACTACTCCTTTATACCCTCCATCGGTCAACGGTACCAGCAGATCTTTCTGCCGGCCCTGTATCTTTGCGACGCTCTGCTCACCACTTTGGGAACCGAGAATCAATCCTGTGCCATTCAAGTCTGCGGATTTCTACAAAGCCACAGGGACACCATCGAGATGATTTTACGGAACGCTTTCCCGAAAGCTAATATTCTGTTTCTGAAAGAGATCGCCTGTCTTACGGGTGTGATATCCAGATCTGCGAACATCGATATGTATAAATTAGTGGACGAAGAACTGGCGAAAGCGGATATCGATGACCATAAATTGGAAGACACTACTGGCATGAGGGAACTTCGTGCTCATCTTTATCGATTGCAGAGACTGATGCTGTCATTATTGTGCAAATTTCAATTGCAACCGGCGCCTGTTCGTTTAAGCCACGAGGAAACAGACGCGAACCAACAGCACATGTCGTGCGTGCAAATTGTCGCGAATATTATGCTGTACACTCGCAATCAAATGCAACACAGCCGAATGGATCAAAAAATACGGAACGTACTGTTCGAGCCGCATCTGACCTCTAAACTGGGAAGCACAGAAGACAGGGCGAAGGATACGTCTGGCGGCGTACACTTGGGGACAATTATCGATCAACTTGTCTCCGTAACGAATTTATTACACACCGAATTACCGCATATAGACACTCTTATAAAAAAGGTTGCGATGTTAAGTGAAATGCGTACAACGGAATTGAAAGAGTATTTGTCCGAAGAAGAAGCAGAGCTCACGGTTCAAAAGCAGCGGGTAATTGTGGAACAACGATTGTGCCGTTGGGTGAAAGAGAAACGTCGAAGTATCAAATATTGCTCTCTGATAATCGAACATGCTTTGTATATTCTATGGAGTCACTTGGACTTTTATATGATCCAGGTGGTATCACGGCACAGTCGAATGCAAGGTAAGGTTCCTGTCCTAAATAACAAACATAATTTTGGTTGTATTATACAAAATTTATAACGACAGATTCTGTTTATTACAATGACCAGTTGATAGTACAAAATATCGTATATTAGGCAATAACTTACGACTCGACAGTTTGCTTATAATTTCTAATCCATAATTATTTTTTCAGTGTCATCAGCGGGCATAGATGAAGACATGGTAGCATGGAAGGGGTCATCGGAGACGTTAATGGAATTGAAACATGGTCTCGTTTCTACTTTTACGGACAGTTTTATTACGCAGTTGTTAGATACACACAATGAATATGCAACGGTAGATCAGAACTTCATCGAAGCGCTTGTAAGAAGAATCAAACGATTATTACAGTTTATAATTGTACAGTAAGCCCGCGTTTACGCGAAACAGTTCGGATGTACAAGAACATATTTTTTTAACGTTCGTGTATATTTACGAACGACGGCCGAGAAACATGGAAACAGTATTTATTTAAAAAAAAATTTAGATTGGACTTATCGAAGCTTAACAATTATTGAATATAATTTTCAATTGTTCCTTTCTGTATATGTATAAAATGCTTAGTTCAATGAAAACTCGTGTAAAAACATACTTTTATCAATTAACGTTCACAAATTACAGTTGAATAGTTGGAGTAATATTGTTAATATATATATTTGACATTTTGTAATATTTTTGTTGGACATAATAATATAAAAAAATAATCTTCTACAGTTATGTTCTGTTGCTATATCAATTGTGGTCCCTATTATTAATAAATTAAATGTTAAAATCATTGAACGATTTCCCTTTTAAATTGTATCATTCGAACATGTACCATGCAGTATATTTACAATTTACACGTATCTTAGTTTTTAAGAAGTTATAACAGCCTCATCCCAAGGACCATAAATGTTATCCTTATATCTTTGACACTGTACGTACCAACAAGGGCATATAAAATGAAGGAATACTATGGACACAATAAAAACGTAAGAGATTGTTTGTGAAACAAATAAAAGGAAATATAAAGAACTAAACGTTAAAAAACTTGAAATAAATATTTTGTTACTTAGTTTGTACATTAAAAACGGCAATAAAACGAAACATTGCACAGCAACTGTAAGAAGAGAGAAAGCATGTGACGGAGACGCCAGCCTGGAGGCTAACATCAGTGAACCAAAAATAGAAGATGTTATGGATAAAGAATCTGACAAAGAGATCTGCAAAGAACCGTATTTACTGAATATTAGATGTGTTAAAAACATTAGTATTGTCATGACATAAATTGTATCTGTACTGATGGTTTCAGTTAACGTCTTCAAGACTGGAGATAAGATATAACCAAATGTAAGAAAAATTAATACCGTTCTGATGTCCTTCGTTAATTTATGCATAGTGTTTGGTTCCTTTGCACAATACACAAGGTAACCAAATATAGTTAAAATTACACTCGATAGGAATATTATATTAGGCGTAGTCCATTCTTCGTTTAACCAGATGAATATAATAACGAAGAGAACTATGATATTCAATTGAATACATATAGTGGCTCCAAATATTATTGCTTCCATCAATGTTACATCATTCGGTTTAATATTTTTACGTAACTGTTCCAAGAACGAGCTGTCCGAATAATTATCTGGCCAGCCATAATTTTGGTATAAATTTTTCTGCCATTGTTTCTCTAACGTCATTCTTCGATATTCATTCTTCTTTTCCAGATAGCTGACAGAAAAAAGAAACTACAGTGAACTACAGTTTCTGATGGTTTCTGATCAATATTATCATCGAAGTACTAAATATAAGAATGTTTGGTACTCAAATCAGACAAACCTTGTATTCATTTGTTCGTAGAAATTAAATAACTAGGAAACCATCCAAAGGTAACTACTACAATCTAGGTTTTTTTACATTTTGGTTCAATCAAAGTACTACAATTTAGGCTCATTCGCGCAATATACGAAACAAATCTTCTGCGACAAACAGTTATATTTGTTCTTTACACTCTATTGTTAACATTGTGGTGGAATGTGTACGTGTAATGATTTTAGAAGATAAATAGGAATAATGCCATATGAAAGAAACACTCTTCAATATAGGCTCGCCTTTTTTTTCGGTTTACCAGTACCCTCGATGTAGACTCGTTCACGATATCAACTCGTCCTCAATAGTTGCGCGTCTACTGAACGCAACTTAGGTGTTAACTGCGTTTACATGCGAAAATGGCAGCGTTGAAGGATGTTGTTTCATTGTACAAAAATTTAAAGCAAGAATGGACAGCGACTCCGTGTAATTTAAAAAAATGCGGTGAATTGCTCAATCAGTTAAAGGTAACACTTGAAATTAACTTTTTGTTGTTCTGTTATTGAAGAAGGTTTTCTTTATCGAACATGCAAATAATATAACCTTTTTCGTCTGTCAAAATGAATTGTCATTGTGTTTGGACTCAAAGTATAACAGACAATATATGATTAATGTTATATATTTCCGTTGGTACGAATTTGTTCGTGCAATTATTAAATGAGAAATGTAACAGAATTAATTTTTACAGGTTGGTCTTACGCATTTAATGTTCCTACCAACATCCAACAGTACAGCAAGTCAAAATGAATTACTTATAGCTCGTACGTGTTAATGTATAAATTATATTAAATATAAATAACGCAGACTAAAATTTTTATACAGAATATTATGTATTAATTTTTTTGCACTTGCAGGGGACATTTTAGAAATTGGTGCACAATGGAGTATAGTCACAGAAGATATACCTTCTTTCGAACGTTACATGGCACAATTGAAATGTTATTACTTTGATTATAAATCTGGACTTATGGAGTCTGCATATAAGTATCATCTACTTGGACTGAATCTCTTGTTTCTATTGTCTCAAAATCGTGTAGCAGAATTTCACACAGAATTAGAACTGCTACCTTCAGATCAAATACAATCAAACGTGTATGTCAGACATCCTTTAAGCTTAGAACAATATCTAATGGAAGGATCGTACAATAAAATATTCTTAGCAAAAGGGAATGTGCCAGCAGCATCTTACAATTTCTTCATAGACATTTTATTAAATACTGTTCGTGATGAGATTGGAGCATGTATGGAAAGTGCATACGACAAAATTTCTATTCAGGATGCCTCGAGAATGCTCAATCTAAATACGGAAAAAGATATGAAAGCATTCGCGGTAAAGAAGAACTGGAACTTGGCCAAGGATAGTTACTTCTACTTTACAACTACTAGTGAAAAGAAAACTGAAGAACCAATACCAAGTTCAGATTTGGCTACACTAGCTATAGATTACGCGAGAGAACTTGAAATGATTGTTTAAGAAGCATGTGTATCATCTTCCTGTATTTTATAGATAAATAAAGATTGTCGTGTAATTATTCAAAGTTAAACTATTTAATAAAACTATAATTCATTCATTAAGTTCGATAAGGAATTACAAAATTACATGTACAGTAGACATTCGTTTCCCGCACTAGTCGGGCTGTAGCGGTAGAGCAATCCTGTGATATCTGTGCTCTCCGTCGGTCCAACGCGCCAATCTTCAGCTAAACGAAAAGGGATTCCGGGAATCGGGTGACGTCACGGCGTGCGAGCGAGAGCGGTAGAGCGAGCCGCGGTATCGATGCTCTCCGTCGGTGTTGACAGGTGCCGAGGAATTTCGGTGGTCTATGGGAGGGAGGTGTGCGAGCGAGAGAGTACGGTAGAGCGTGCTGAGTATCGGTGCTCTCCGTCGATCCAACGCGCTAGTGAGTTGCGTCACCCAGTTTATTGACTTGGCCGTGTACGCCGTGTACCAAGGTCGTACCAGCCCGTGCAGGTCTGTGCTTGCTTCCTCACTTTCTCGTGAACCGTCGCGGAGGGTGGTCGCGCGTCTC